TAAAGGCTTGGCGGAAGCCGTGCGTGCATCAGCAGCCGCCAGCGGACGAACAAGGATAGGGCCAATCTTAAGACTTAAGATGAAGCACATCCGTGGGAGGGGGGGTGTCCGCACTGACAGGAAAGACGAGGTGCCCGCCACGGCGGGCAGGGGCCCCAACTATGGCAGTCCACTTGAACTTCTCGCGCAAAAAAGTGCAGACTTCAGAAGCACTGGAGCCCTTCGGGAAACCTAGAACCCTAAAGCGAAGCCTCCCAGCGATGTTTTTGTTGTGCTCATCAAATCTGCCGTCTTGCGGCTTGGCGACGTCTCGAAATTTACCCACATCACCAGGGGGAATGCGCAAGCCAAAACCAGTGCGATTCTGCTGAAGGCCAAAATGCGAGGGGATACGTCGTGCCAAGGCACGCGCCTCAAGCAGTGACTTCCTACCTAGCCACTCAATAGCAAAGATGTTGTCAAACGAGGCCTTCTGTTCATCAGACCTCCACACTGTCTGAAAGGATCTGAAAGGTAAGAGGGCAGTCGATGCCAGAATGCTGAAGAAAAGTGTTCAAGGCAGGTGCCGCTATGCGGACGATGACGCGATGCACATCATCAGTGAGCTTTTTCCATGCGTACAGCTCAACACCAGGATGATGTGAAGAGTCCAATTGTGCGAGAACAACCTGACGAACTTCAGAACGAAGGCGAGCCGTAAAAGAGCTCCAATCAATTCCAACCGCTTCGAGATTGGGACGCTGTATCAGAACTGCAAGCTCGACAGTGGGAGCAGGCGCGAAATCATCTGAAGCCACGTGGGCCTTTGGCTTCACATCTTGTTCGCACAACGAGAACAAAGTAACATTCTTAAGCTCCTTACGCATGAGCGACGGGTCATGCACCACAATAGTTGTGTTGAACTTTCGGGCGTGCGTGACGGCAGATTCTGGCAGATCTTTCAGCGAAAAACCCGGGATAGCGACAACAAGACGCTGAGTACTGGTGACCTGCAAAACATCATGAAGCTGATCACGCTTGGCAAGTGCAATGCCATGAGCATTAAGGCGAACATTGGCCAAGGAAATGTTGGGCAAGTCAGGCTCAAATTGTTGTCCTACCACCTGCAAATCGGACCATGCTGAACGCTTAGGCCTAAGAGGCACAGGCTTGGGATCGGGAGCATCAGGCTCCGACATCTCAACATCAGGAGCAGCCTCAGCATGCCGTGGAGCTTGATAAGCTGCCCAAGGATCAAAGCCAGTGGGAGGCAAGCTGCGAGTGGAAGTGTGTCCGCTTTTGGGCTCAAAAGCACGCTTGCTGCCAGAAGAACTGCGCGGCCGAATGGTTTTGGTCTTGTTGTCGGCATGCTTGACGCCGCCATGCAGGCGGGCACACTGCACAAAGCAATCACCATGTGTAATACCGGTGTCGGTGCACAGACTGCTGTCATGTACCACACGCGATTGGAAGCAAAGATAAAAGGAGCGAGTAGGCACACCAGTGCGAAGGGACACGATGTCACGCAGGGCTCGTCCACTCAAGGATGGATAAATTGCACATGAAATGGTGTTACCAGCGATGGTGCGCACAAACACCTGTGATGGCGTACTGGAACAGCTGCGGGAGCGCCACACGCGCCGGGGAGCACAGTGACTGACGGAATCCAAGTGCTTGCGGGAGTGAGTAGAAACAAGATCCGCGAGGGCACAAATCTCAATGAAATGCGCAGAAGACGCAAATCGAGGATGGCGATAACGACAGATGCCAGTGAAGCGGGCACGACTGACAGAACGACGGCGATGCGGGAAGAGCCAGCAGTCAATAGCGCCAGTGAGGAAAACGGCTAAGCAGGAGGGCAAGGGCAAGCCCAACAGCCAAAGCCCGAGGCACCACGAGGCACACCAAAAAAGGCCCAGTCGGAAGAGCCACCGAAAGGAGAAAACGGAATGAATAATCGCTTGAATGTGGTGAACGACATTGCTAATGCCCACGTAGAGCTTGCAGCACGAAGACATGACGGAATGCAAGTGCAAGAACAGCATACAGATGGTCCAGAGCACTAACCACGAACTCTGGTCTGTGGACGCTAAGTGCGGGCACCTGCAACCCTGCCTCTTAGCCGCGGGCCCCATCTGGCCGTAGGGGAGTGAGGCGTGCTCCAAGCCCGCTCCCCGAGGCGAGGCGGTGTAGTAGTAGGACCTTGCGAAAGAAAACATCATGCCACACTTTTCGGTCGACCCTTTCGGGCAGGCATACCAACTGGAGCAGATTTGCAATCTTTCTTCATCCATGTCCGAAGATAGCTCTTTGAAACAGACTGTTTGCAGAAGGCACAAGAAGGCTTGTAGATATCTTCAATGAAATGTCTACCACGCGTAGCAGCATGCTTGTTGTGTTCATCCACATCAATTTGTAGCTTCGCGTTTCTGGTCTCAGACAGCTTGGCAGCTCGCGTGCTAGAGCCACCCATGTCGACCGCAGAGGAAAGAGCATGGCATCTCCGTTTGCAAAATTTGAGGACATAATATTCATTAACAGTTTTGTGGTGCCACTCACATTGAGGGGAAGCAATGTCACGGATACAGTGTCGACTTTGCACTTGCGCAGTAGCGTTGAGCACGGCAAGCTCTTCATTAACATTGTGGTGAAACATAGCAGTGCGTTTCTCCCCACGTGTCAAAGGTGCACTGCCGTTGTGAAGTTCTTGGAAGAAACGGCAAACGCGTTGGGCAGCAAGAACTTCGGATTGAAAAGGACCAAAAGACTGGCGCGAGCCTTTGTAAGTGATAACAGCACGGAAAAGACCAGACGCCTTGACCTTCTGCACATACTGGTATTTGGACCCACCAGGTCTTTTGCTTGTTGACAGAAGAAGTCCAAGCTCATCGCGAAGGGGGATATTCGCAGCTGGTTTTGCTTCAGGTTGTTGATGTTGGTTCGCCCTGTGAGAAGCTGACTGTTTGCGAGGTTCAGGTCTTGCGAATCTTGAAGGATCAAAATCATCAGGCGGGATTGTGGTCTCAGCTTCTTTGCGAGCCTTGACGATCTCCACCATCATTTCCTGAATAGCAGTGGGAAAATGAGCAAGTGTGTAAAGGATGCAACATACCATCAGGATGATCAGCATCATGTTTGGCGACAATAGCAGCAGACTGCTGCGGAGTGATGGCAAAAATGCCTGTGCGCAAAGTGCAAGCGGGAAGTAAAAGAGCATCACGCTGTTGACGTAGCTCTAAAAAGTGCAACCTGATGTGCTGCCAAGAGGAGCAGTGCCAGAACAAATGCTCAAGACTCTCCTCTTGCTGCCAACAATAGGGGCAGATTGGATGATCAGCCTGCCGTGTCCGGTAAAGAGTCTGTTGAGTGTAAATCGCGCAAGCCAAGATGGAGCGCAGGATACCACGATCGTATTCTGGTAGGCGGGATGACGAAAGAAGTTTCAAGGTTGCCACTTTGTCGACTCCTTGTTGCAAACCGCGCAATTCCTTACGATTGGTTGCTGCTCGGGACAGCATGCGCGAAGCACCAAGACGAACCATGTGGTTGAAGTAGCCGTCTGTATGCTTGTAAAGGTCAAGGTTGATAAATTGGCCATGACCAACAAGAACATGAAACTCAAAAGGTGACGTCCACGTCCACTGTACCTGATTGCAAGCAACTTGTATAGGTTGGCTAGTAAGCCAACGGAATTGGAACGGCCATCTTTAAACTTGGAACGCGCATCAATTGTGTCATGCCAGATATGTAACCAAAGCAGATTGAAGTGATGGTTTTTCCGAAGCTGGCGTCGAGCAATAACAAACGGGTGAATAAGTCGGAGCTGCAGAGGATCGAAAAGGTGTCCTTTGTGACAAAGCATAAGAACGATGTCTGCAGATTTTGCTGAACGTCCACGCCACAAAGCCTGCAAGACGCTGCCGCGCAATTGGGTTTCAAGCTTTTTGTCACATGGTCCAAGTTCCAACCCGTACTTATAATGCGAGGCACCCGCCGTGATCAACATAGTCTCCTTAGCAGCAATGTTGAGAGGACAAATAACCACACGTTCGGCGACGGTGAGATACTTGCGTGCTCGTTTGTTGGCAATGGCACGAGACCTCCGCTTTGTGAAAGACAAGTGGCCGCCCACCAATTTGCCATCTGTAATTTGATTCAGAGGTTGTCCGCCCAAGACGACATTCGGAAGCTGCTTTCTGCCTTTGGCAGATGTAGCAAAAATGACAGTCTTGTCAGTGTTGACCACGGCATCTATCTTGTCGTCAAAGGCACTTGTAAGATCGACAACTTGCTGAAGTTGCTCAACTGATTGTGTGCGGACGTTCTTGTCGTCGATGTAACGGCCAAGTGCACACAATGAAGTGGAAGGGTGGGAAGAAAGTGAGCGGACCCAGGCAGCAACCACCGCATTGATGCGTAAAACGGCAAGTGGACATCCTTGCATGATAGAATTCGTGTTGGGGAAAGCAGGGCCAACTGAATTGCCAAATTTGAATCGTCGCATAATTTGCTTGGAAAAAGCAAGCATGGGTCCATGAACCGATGCAGGCATACCAAGGTCATGAAGCAAGCCCGACTCAATTTGCCAAGCTATATTGTCGAAGCATTTCTTGTAGTCGTAAAAAACACCGAACAAGGTGTGGTTGGAAATTTGCGCCATCTCAGCTTCCAAAGCAACTTGATAGTAGCAGTCGATGGCTTCGCGTTGTGGCGCACCACCACGAAGCACATCAGGCAACCAAGAAACATGCCATGATTGAAGTTGCTGAAACTTTGCTTTGGCCCAAACGCGGTAAAGCAGTGGGGACAAAGAAATTGGCCTCGTGTCCAAAGGGGAAAAGCCTCCTTCTTTCTTCAATGCCGCCACAGGTATTTTGCAAAGATTATCTGGCCAAGTGTTCGTGGATTCAACAAGTCGGTATAATTGCACGAGACGTTGTATGAGGCGAGGCGGTGTAGTTGCCACCTTGGTGGGCTGTCGAAACCAAACAAAGGGTTACCGCCAGCGCTGTACCAGCTGTTTAAACAGACATCTTGCAGTGCTGCTTCATGAACTGACGAGCTCTGCCTCTGGCGACTTGCTTCTTGCACCATTTGCATGTAGGATTGCTAAAATTGATGATGAAGTGTTTGCTGTTTGCTTTTGCTGAGCGATTGTGAGTATGGATGTCATTGTCGAGGGCTGCTTGTCTGGTGTTTGAAAGAGTAGTAGCTCTGGTAGTAGATCCTGCGGCATCCGCTTTCTCAGAAATGTGATTGCATTGTCTGGAGGCAAAAGTCAGGATATGATATCGCTGCACTGATTTGTCACAGAAAGTACATACTGGTGTGTTGACGTCAAGGATTTGGTGACGTCCTTCAGCTTTGGCAGTCTTGTTGAGCTTGTTGAGCTCTTCTTGTAAATGTTTGGTGCGCTTGTCCTCGCGTTTCGAACCGCGTGTAACGGGAGCTTCTCCAGAGTCCCATCGCTCCAAAAAATCCTTGACGGCTCGTGCGGCCTCCTCTTCAGTATCAAAAGGACCAATGGAGTGTCGCTTGGAGCCACGAGGGATAACAGCACGATAAACGCTTTTCTTCAGCTGGACATATTGAAAACGGGAACCACCAGGACGTAGTGAAGTAGAAAGCAGCAGGCCATCGTCATCGGTTTTCGGATTTCTGTGGTCAGGAGCCGCAGCAGGAGGTTGTTTCGGAGCAACTTGTTCGGAATCATGTCCAGACTCCCGCTTCGTTTTGGGAGTCTTTTTGTAAACGTCCGGATCAAAATCATCAGGTGGATCAGCAGCATCGGTATTGTTGCGTGCTTTGATGATATCTACCATCATCTCTTGCATCTTCGGCGCATGAGCGTAGTGGTGGGTAGGCCAGTTTCTGGAAACAGTCGGGTCCTCGTGCTGTTGAACAATGTGTGATGACTGCTGTTCTGTAAGAAGGAATAAGCCAGTGCGCATCGTGCAACTAGGGAGTTGCAGGGTTGTCTGGAAGAGCTGTCCAGGCAAATGTTCGTCTCGAAGATGTTGCCATTGTGGACACTGCCAAAATACATGGTGTATTGTCTCATCCGCACACCAGCAAAACTTGCATCTGGGGTGATTGGTCTGGTTGGACTTGTAAAGTGAGTGTTGCGTGGAAACGGCACCAGCGAAGATCGAGCGCAAAATGCCTTTGTTGTATTGCGCATAGGTTTTCCGTCTGTAAAGTTGAAGGGTGGTGGTTTTGTCAATGCCAATCTGGATGCCCTTCATGTCTTTTCTGGTAGTAGCGGCTCTCGCCCAAAGAGCACGGGAAGCCCCAAGTCGAAGAATGTGAAAGAAGTAGTCGTCGGAGTTGTCCAAAATGTTGAAGGTGATGGTCTTGTTGTGGCCAACGGGAACTTCGAAACAGAAAGGCGATGCCCAGGTCCACTGCATACTGTTTGCAGCTTGTTGGATAATGGCTAAAGGTCCAACAGCATTCGTCCGTCCGTCTCGAAAGCTGGCTCGTTTCTGTGCCGTAAAAGCAAAGATGTCCTGCCAGAGTTGACGAAGATCTTGATGTTTAAGAAGCTGGCGTCGAGCAATTTGAAAACGCTTGATCATACGAAGTTGAGCTGGATCGAATCTGTGTCCTCTGTGACAGATGCTCAATACAACATCAATGCACCTGGAGCTCCGTTTGTGCCAGAGTGCATTCACGATGGTGGTTCTGAGAGTTCTCTCGAGGGACACTGAGCAAGGACCGAGCTCGAGTCCGTAATGATATTTGGGGGCACCGGCAGTAGAAAGCAGGATTTCTCGAGCTTCGATGTTCAGCGGACACAAAGTTGCGCGTCTTGCAACTTGAAGATACTGGTTGGCTCGATGATCCGCGAGCTTTCTGGCCCGTCTCTTTGTGAAAGAAAGGTGTCCTCCAAGTAGTCGCTCGTCCGTAGCTGAGTGCAAGGCCTTTTGTTGATACGTCAGGTGTTCAACTTGTTGACGTCCGGCAGTGCTGGTGGCGAAAACGACTGTTTTGCTATGTTCAATAATTGCGTCCATTGCGGCGTCAAATTGCTCCGTGACGTCAATGGCTTGTTGAAGTTCACCGACGGATGTGGATCTGATACTCCTGTCATCAACGAAAGCTCCCAGCTTGCAGGTAGGCAAGGATGTGTTTTTGCTGATGCAATCGCTCCAGGCTGCAATGAGACAGTTGATGCGTATGATGGCTAGCGGACATCCTTGCATGATGGAGTTTGTGTTCTTCATGACGGGCCCCACGGATGATCCCAGTTTAAATCGTCGTCTCGTGTGCCGAGCAAAGTAATACATGGATTTGCCTACCTGTGGAGGCAGTCCAAGATCACGAAGAAGGCCCTCCTCGATGCTCCATGGTATGTTGTCAAAACACTTCTGGAAATCGAATAAGATGCCAAACAAGGTGTTTCTGGAGTGGGAGTGTTCAATGTCCAGCGCCAAATGATAGTAAATGTCAGTGGTATCTCGGCCGTGCACACCGCCTCGTAACGAGTCTGGAATCCAGGAGTCCATCCATGGACGAAGTTGTTTGAAGCGGACTCCAGCCCAAAGCCGGTATATGTGGGAAGCCAGTGAAATAGGACGTATGTCCCGTGCTGACTCGCCTGTTTTCTTCTTGATTGTTGCTACAGGAACATCAAGTAGACAGGTAGGCCAGATGCCGTGGAGCTCAATGGCATTGTAGAGTTTCGCCAAGTTGTGTAGACTTCGTTTGCCTAAGCACTTGAGCTCGTGAACCTGCCATGCATCGGCACCAGGGGCGGAAATTTTGAGCTTGTGTAAGTGCTCGTAGACAATGTCCTCATTGAAGGGCGGTACGTCAAATGGCGCAGTATTCGAAAAAGGAAGGTTGTTGTCGAGAATACCACCAAGCTGTTGTTTGAAGTCATCGTACTGTGGAGGGTCACGGTCACTGTATCTGTTAAAGATTGGCTCCCAAGTTTCGAGCATCATCTTGTGCAAATCCTTGTGTTTGGTGGCGAAGCCATCAGGTACCTTGAAGCATGGAGTGATGTACGGGTCCGCGTCTTTTAGCCATTTGTATGTTTGCTTTGTTGTACCACGCCAATCCTCAATGAGACGCTGAGTATGTCGCTGGAGGCGTTCTTGGATGAGTTGTTGTTGCAGAGTTTGTATTCGATGATGTAGACGATCAAGTAGGCAGTCGATGACTTTGGCTTCGACTGGGTAGGATTCGGTGATGGTGCATTGGTCCTGACAAAGTCGTTGCCAGGAACGTTGTATGTTGCAGATCAAGTCGTCATATTGTTTGCGAGCGCAAGCGGTTGTGGTGCATGTTGATGGATTTTTGCATCGCAATTGTTGTAGTCGCCGTTGTAACTTCAGCATGCCTGCAATGCGGACGGTGTGAGCGCCAAAAGAGTGGTCGCCCTGGGGCGCTTGGACGGGACAACTAACAACTTTAGGAAAACGGCCACGACCATGGTGTTTCTTTGTAACCGCGATGGCGAGGCGGTAGTTAGCCCAGTCTCCCCAGGCGCTGCCGGTGAGGCCATCCTCGCTAAGACACGCGACATCTCAACAGCAAACATCAGAACGCCCAAACTACAAGTACCTGAGGCAGACGAACTATTATGAACCTATTATTTTGCTTATCTTTGCTGTGTGCCTTGAAGAACATACGTATAGTGGATGATTGTCTGCGGTGAAGAGGAGGAAAAGGAACTTTACGTCGATCACCGCTCATCCCAGTCCGGGAAAAAGTAGATTCGAAAGCATCTCCGACAAGCACTAGCCAGCGAACGCTCCCGGGAGCTCGGCCAGCTGTGCACGTGTCCTGCCCCCCTCCAAGGGAAGCAGGAGGCCGCGCCGGTGCTTGCAAGATGAGACGCCGCCAAAAGCATGCACCATCACTAACCCGAAGCACTGTTTCAAAAGAAGCTCGCGTAGCAGAAAACGGCTTGACCACTGCATGCGACCGAAATAGAAAAATCTGACTTCGAGGAACATAAAGAGACAATATTGGTACAGATCTGCCAAACGACTGTCCCGAAGCAGCTGCACCGTGGTGTGTAAAAGGAGCCAGCGTCCATTGCACCCAAACGGCTTGATCAAGGGCAACAGACATCCAGCAAGACTGTGGAGAAAAAACAGCTCTGAAAACGTGCTTGCAGCCCGAAACCTCACTTTTGCTGCAGCTGGCCCCACAGCTTCTGCTCCAGCTGCGACTGGCCTTCGCGGGAAGGCTCAAACTTGACTCCTTCACACTTGCAGTCCAAGAAAGTAGCAAAGCCTCACGAGTGTCGGTGGATGCTGCTGCTGAAAGCATGATGGAGACTTTCCACGTACGCTTCTCCAACGGGGTGCGGAACTTGCTAGAGCAGGCAGAGATCTCCCGGTCGACTGTCTCCGCCGGCAGAGCAATAAGGAGATCAGCGGCTTCCTGGAGCTTGTCTGGCCAGCCGACGCCATGACTTTTGAGCAAGTTGACCAAGGTGACAAAGTTGTAGTACTTCTTGTAGCCCCAAGGGTGTGCAGCCAGTGGTCGACCTTCTGTTCTTGCCTTAGCCCTGGCACCAGCAAGGTCACCACCATGCTGCTCAAGCTGCTTCTGGTTGTAAGCCTCCATAGCCGTGTGCACGGACTGTCTGGTGTCATCAGCCGTGAGGAGCACTGCGAAGGAGCAAGCGTTGACCAGGGCCTGTACGTCTTGTCCCTTGTACAGCGAGTAGCGAAGGAGATCCATAAGCAGCTGGTCATTGCTGCCGCTGCTAGCGCTGCCGCCCAGCGGCGCACCATCCGGTCCAGCACGGCGCTTGTGTCCCTGCTGTGCTGGTGCAAGGTTGGCCTTCACCTCTGCCAGGAACGCCGGTGGCTGTGCCATGCTCCGCACCGGACGGGCGTACGAGAAAAACGAGGTGGGCCAAAAAACTGCATGTAGTCGAACAAAAGAAAGGAAAACTGCCTCAGCCAAGGTCACCACAGCAGAATGCTACAGTCCCTCCGCCTGTCGTCGTTGCAAGCATACTACTAAGTGACGTCCTTTTGCATGAGCCGTCCAGAAATCAGTCTTGCAATGCGGACACGGGTGGTCTTAACTTGTTCCAATTGCGGCACCACACTCCTGGGCGTCCCTGAACCCGGGGTCGGATCGAATGACCATTTTCTTGAAAAACGCCTGCCTGCCCGTCACCCGCATTTCTCACAGCCTCCCTCACCACCTCTTGGTAGTGTTGTTGCTTATCATGGAACGCTGCTATGTTGCGCCGCCAATATCCACCAACATAGACTGTAGTGAACAAACCTCCGCGTCGGCCATCTCGAGTCTTGTAGGGACAACACCCGCCTACTGCGTGCAAACCGGCAAAGCAGCGACTGGACAAGTCATTTGGGATATTACGGGATCACGAATATCTGCGTGGATTGTGCACTCGCAGGAAACATGCATCACAGTCTTCGGAACTCCACAAACGGCGCAATTGAAGTCTTGATGTATCCTCTTGTGACGGTGATCGCGCTCCTCAGTCATTAAGCCACCTGCAAGCAACAAGCGCAGCACTGCAGTTTTTTGCCTGTACTCCTCCGTGGCAAAATTCCCCAGAACATCATCATCCCCTGCAAACCTTGTTAGCCTCCTCCTGCTCCCAGCGTTCGTGCAAAAGCATTGTACGTCTGAAATCCAGATCCTGAATATGTCCATAGTGCTGTGGTCTATCCTTCATAGCCTGTTCCACCAGAAAAAACCGCCAAGCCATCCGAAGTCGGTGCGCCCATTCTTGTTCATCAACATGTTGGTAAACAAGTTCATGAACAAGGTTGTTAAACACCGGACTGTCCGCAAGCAACCGCAATCGCGCCGCAGGGCCCTCCACCCACGCGTTTTTACGAAACTCCTCCTGCAACACGTTACGGAAGTCAACATCCCTGATGCACCGTGCAACAGTTCGAAGCCCATACTAAACGGGTCCGAAGGTGGGATCGAGTTGTGGAGGAGCAAGAATCGCGAATGTAATCAGTGGCGACATGCTGTAAAAGTCCCTATGCCACAAGATCCTGCTGGATCCCAGAAGTAGTCGGGGCTTGCCTGAGCAGCGGTAGCACGCAGCTACCCCACTCACGACAGGGAACCGTATCACCGGATTCCCGTACGTGGCACATCATTGGAACCTGACGGCAGCTCTCTGAGCTGACCAACATGCTGAAGCATTATTGCATCGTCATGAGCATCTTCTTGTTGCAAGGAGTTGCTCTGCGCGGACTTGCGCCGTGTACGATGGCGAACATTAACAGGTGATACAGCCACATCATGACCATCGTCGCGTCGTGGAAAGTTATGAGGTGATGACTTGCGTCGAAGACGACGACGAGCACTGGTAACGAGAACATCCCTACGGGAGTGCTGTGCTTGGGTGCCACCATCTGCTCTGCTGGCAGCTGGCGGATCGTGGTGCTGCGTGGGCTGCATGCTGGAAACCCAAGAAGGTGGAGGTGAAAGGGACGATGGCGGTTGGGTGTTTCCGAATGCTTGGTGGCGACGCATCCAAGGCCAAGTACGGCCGCAGCGCTGACAGTAGAGAAACCCAAACGTTGCTTCATCAGACTCCTTTCCGGACCTACGATTCCACACGAGGGAGTGGATATTGCGATTCAGGGTCACCTGGGTGTGCCTAAACAAGTCATCCAGACGGGAGACGGCGGTCATGCGAGCGATAGCCGGCGCGCGAAGTGCACGGAACCTTGGACAGAACCAGGAGATATGATCGTGGGACGGCACACCCCCACACTGACAGTTGACACCACCCGGCAAGCGCAAGATTTTGAGGCGAGGGCGTAGGTCATTGTGAGACTCCGGTTCAGTAGCCAAACCCATGTCAAGCAAATATTGCAACTGATCTGCTTCCTGGGTCCAACGCTGTATAAGCGAGACAGCAAGGGATTTATTGACACCTCGATTAACGCCAGCATAGTCTTGTGCACGATCCCGTAACACAAGCTTCCAAGTAGCAGTACGCCAACGGTCACGGAGCGCGTGCTGCCAGTTGGCAGGGAGAGGACGTGACTGGACAACCGCTTGAACGACCGGACCGAAGACAGGGGAGTCACGGAGCTGCTGAAGTCCTGCTGGATCCCAGAATCCCACGGGGGCCTGCACTCCAAGCTCGTTCTCGAACGCTCGCAGAGGCGAGGCGGTGTAGTTAGCCCAGTCTCCCCAGGCGCTGCCGGTGAGGCCATCCTCGCTACGACACGCGACATCTCAACAGCAAACATCAGAACGCCAAAACTACAAGTACCTGAGGCAGACGAACTACTATGAATTTATTAGACTGCTTATCTTTGCTGTGTGCCTGGAAGAACATACTGTTGTAGGTGGTGTTCACGCTGTCGAAGCAGCCCACCTGCGATGTTGAAGCCATGGTAAAAAGGGTCCCACTCCTGGCAAAGACGTGGCCAGAGTGGTACGTTTGGCCACCCATCTGCGTGACAGGCTGGCCAGCGACCACGTCGCCAAAACATGACTCTCCCCATAGCACTGCAGATACAACTATATCGATGACATCCACAGAGACAGAGAGAATCTCGGAAAAAGAAAAGCTGGAGCATGCAAAACGCTTGGTCAAAGTGCAGTAGCTGAAATCCATCCAAAAGGAAATATTGGAAGCATCATCTCTGGCAAAATGAGACAGGCAAGACTCATTAGCCACCTGGTTCAAGAGGTACGTGCCTTGAGAGACTCCCAAAGCTCCTTCTGCACTTGTGTCTGCGGGGCTCTCATCGGCTCCAGCATCCACTGAAGATTCTTGGATCGGGCCAACTCCTTGCACAGGCAGGTCCAGTGCACACGGAAGCTGTCTGGAGCCAGGGGCGTCAAACTGACCTTGAACTTCCACGGGCGGCCTTCCTTCGGAGTAGCGTGCTCGGGAGCGCAGTTGGCGAGGTAAAGCTCGAGGTCGTCCCCAGCCATCTCGTTGAGTGCCTTCACTGCTTCCTTGCCAGGGCCGTCCGGCAGTTGAGCGTGCAAGCGCTCTAGCACGGCACTGCAGGCGAACACCTTGCGGGAACCCCACTCGTGTGGCTTCGGCTGTTGTCCTTGACGCCGTTGTTCTGGAGTCAAAGCGTTGTCGCGCTGCTTCGCATGGTAGGCATCTAGAAGACGCACCAGGTGGGTCTTGTCCTCCTCCGCTTTGACCAGCAAGCACAAGTTGGCCGAGTTGAGAAGCTCCTGGACACTGTTGCCTTGAAGGAGGTGTGAGCGAAGCAGCTTGGTGACCAGCTCGGCGTCCGTAGAAGTGGCGTCGGGTCGAACAACTGGCTGTCCTCGCTCGTCCCGCAGGCGCTTGTTGGACGGGTTGCTGTACGCAAGGGCTGCTGCAAGGTGCTGCGAAGCCATGCCGCCGTAGACTCACCCAGAGGAGGAGTCTTAGCCAACCTACTGCTCGCATGCTGAAGCCAACTCTGCAATGGCAGCAGCAACGTTTAGACGCGAAGTTGTGTAGTGTCCACATCATGCCATACCTTCAGTTCCGTGGGCAATCCCTCCGCAATCCTGCGCTTTTTGCATTGCACCGAATGTCGTCCACGAGCTTTTGGGACCACAAAGAGTGTGCCACAGTGAGGGCAGGCGTGATCAGGATTCTGGGCCTCACGATTCAAAAAGCGAATCCTGTGGATCCAATTGTCAAACGTCATTGCTGGACAACATCTCATGTGCTTGGAGCATTTGGTGTTGTTCTCGAAGGTCTGCAGACACCAGAGGCACTTTTTGGGATCTGCAGGGTCTGCACCACCACGTCGAGGAGCAGGCAAATCGGTTGTCGACATCGGTCGCGCCCGCTCTTGAAAAGCCTTGCCACGCTGATAAACTGTTTCCTGGTCAAGCCATCGTTGAGGCCAAACTTCCTCAAGAGGTCGCGGGAAGTCTGCCGGTCGCTCTTGCTTGAAACGAAGACGCCGAGCACGAACAGGAGCGGGTCCAGGTACAGGAGGAGGCGCCGGGGGCCCCTCTGGGGCCTGCGCCGCCAGTGGAGCAGCAGCTGGCCTGCGACGAACTGGTTGAGGTGCACTTTCAGCGACTCGACGTTCACGTTGCTCACGCTGGACTGCCCTTGTTCGCCGAGCAGCCTCTGTAAGCTTAGCACATGCTGGGATATGCAAACGAATCGAGCGTAGATGCATCTGGACCCCACATTCAGGATGCGGACACAAATACTTCCCACTAGGCTGTAGCAGAGCGCCCGTGGAAAGTCGAGCCCTTTCAGCTGCCGCAGCACGACGAGCAGCTGTAAGGCCATCCGCAGAATGCTTGTTTTTCCATTCGTAACCAGTCTCCCTCTGCATCTTGGCTTGGTGCCATCGCTTCAACAGACCTCGCCAGACCGTACCATCCTGTTTCACTGCAAGGTGCGTCCAGGAGGAGGCCCATTGGTCTTTGGAGAGGTCAGAGAACGCCAACACCTGTTGCAGTAGCCGCCAGTACGTGTGACGCAGGAGTGTTCCAGTCTTGAAACTCTTGAACTCAGACTCCGGCCACATGGCCGCCCAAAGAAACTGACGTTCCAAGCGCGACTCGGGCAGCCGAGCTAAGTGTCCGAGATACTGAAGCTGTCTATACTCAATCATGTGTCGCACAGGCAGCAGGCCACATTTTTTGCGTAAGTCAGCTAACGTCACCTGATCATCAGACATCGTCCTGCGCCGCTGAGAGCAGATTGCAAACGTGATGCGATTCAGTAGTTGTTGATAATCAGCGAGTTGACGACTGGAAAACGTGCGCCTCTCACATCCAAACAAAAGACAGTTCACGACAGTAGCCTTGACCACCACGCCCTTGTCCTTCACAGTGAGGCCTAAGCGGCCCAGCTGACGGGAAAGCTTACCCCATAACTTGTTGGCTGCCGCGAGGTGTTCCTTAGTGTCACGGTCATGTTTCCCATCCCATTGTAGCCACACTCCAAGAAAACGCACTGCCTCATCGAAAGCACTGTTGGCCGGCGGCATGACGTCAGCTTTCAGACGATGAGTTTTGCCTGCATGAAGTGTCTCTACAAAATCCCCCAAAGCCTTCGCCATATCTCGCTCAAAAACTTCCAGTTCAGAAGCGCGCGTGACGCCTGTGGTGTCGTCTGCAAACAGAACCGCAAGCAAGTGGAGGTATTCTGTGCTCGCATCTGTCTGCTGCAGGCGACGGCGCAAGTTGAATTGAGTGCCCGGGTTCGTCGAGAACAAGACTCCATCATCACCACGCTGTTGTCGTAGGGCAAGAAAACGATTAATGGCAAAGTTGTGGAAGATGGAAAAGCATATGGGCGACGTGGGACAACCTTCCCTAAAACCAATCAAAAGATTGAAAGGATCACTGAGTTCACGGCCTTGGCGAATCTGGTAAGTGGTTGAATCATGCAGCCCTGATAGTACACGCAGCATGGCATCCGGGACTCCCAGCCGGTGAAAGAGCCTCCATGCAAGATGCCGCTGTACTTTGGGATAAGCCTTGATGATGTCATAGCAGACCAACACCAACGGATCCCACGTGCCATCTTCAGGCTTACGGCATGAGTTTGCCATTTCCAACACAAGGGTGAGAACCAGCGAGGGGTCTGTGCAGCGTCTGTGAGCTCGAAAACCCCACTGAAATTCATGCATCCATCCAGCACTCTCTGCCCAGGATTGTAATCGATCTGCTGCGATACGACCGAGGACGCGACTGAGCGTGGATAACAGCATGATCACTCTATAGTTGGACAGATCCTGTTTGCAACCCTTTTGTTTGTACAGGTAAAAACCAATGCCAAGCCGCACCGTGCTACCCCAGTCCTCTGAAGGTGCCTGCCACATGTATCTAATGAGGGAATAAATGCAGTATTGGGCCCGAGGGCCGGCCCAACGCAACATGCCAGCCGTTACTTCATCATGGCCAGCTGCGCAGTCTCGCACCTTACGGAGAGATTGCCCGATCTCAGTATCCGTGGGGGTGGCCCCAAGCCAGTGTGCCACCTCTCCCGGTGGAACCGAGTCAAGCATGGATTCAGCCACAGGTACAAGATTACTGCCAATGTCTTTGCAATGTTTCCTCATGTCCGACAAATTGTGGGTCATTTTGCCTGCCATGGACTGTTCACCAATATGGACGCCAAGCTTCTTGAGAGACTGATAAAACTTGCCTAAGTCGTGGAAATGCATGTGTTCCTCCGCCTCCTTGCAAATCGACTTGACAAAACGACCTCTGGCTTGAACACGGAAGCGCTGTATACTGCGATTGAGAAGCTTGTGCTGCCGTTTGAGCTCAAGGATCTGCTGCTCATCTGTCGACTGTCGAATCTGCTCCCACACCGCATTGAGATCGGCCCTGAGTTGGTGCAATGTCTCCAGGTCCTCGTCACTGTACGGACTGCCGACAGCCATTGGGCGCATACGGCCCGCGACTGCCTCAACACCTGAGACAAGCACTTCAGCAAGTCCTTCCCAATCAAGTGCCGGAGGTTCCGGCTCGGCTGTGTAGCCCTGCAAAAACCACGGAGTGCCTTGACCGTCCTCCCATGGAGGACGAGGTTGAGGTCCGCCACCTTTGACCACTCGCCTCCTGCGCGGAGGTTGTTTCGAATGCGCATGCAATTCAGACGTCTTGGCCAGCACATGGGCTTCAAAAAGGCAACAATTACCATGAGAGCCTAACTTGGCAAGCGCATCCGCTCTGTCGTTGCCCCATATACCAGTGTGGCCTGGGACGTAGTCCCAATGAACATGAACTCCTTTACGCTTCACGTGTTCCAATTGGATCTGAACCCACGCCACCAACTGAGTATTATTGTTGGCACGCCAAAGAGATTGCACCATGTTGGCCGCATATTGGCTATCATAACGAATGCGAACATGTGTGTTCGGAGTACCAAAACGCTGTAGCCATTTAAGCGCCATCCCGATAGCTTCAAGTTCTGCTACATTGTTAGAGTGGCCTTCCGCTCCATGAAAGCCTGGCTTGCTGGCATCAATGACAACCGGGGCATAATATGACTCTGTGTGTGACCCACATATCACAAAAAGTCCCCAGCCTGCGCTTGTAGCGCCTGCCTCCCCATGGCTGCCATCAGTGTACAGCTCAATGCAGTTAGGATCATCAAGAGGTGGTGTTTGCTGGGCCTCTTGGGGCAGAGGCACACCACGGTCCTCCAGTTGACGTTCCACAGACTCACGAAACTGCTGGCGTTTACAACCCGCAGTTTCAGAGGGTCCTCGCAGTGCCTGCATGTTGAGCTTGCCCTTGGCCTGTTGGAGCTCCTTGCAGCGCTGAAAGTGACGAAATCTCTCACGCCGACGGACACGAAGCTGATGCTTGCCTGGAGCAGAAAGATGCATGACAACTTGCTTTCCCCAATGGTCACTAATCGCACATGTGAAAGTGACCGGTGTTTGGAACTGATGTCGGATCTCCTGCGAAGCACATATGAAATCCAGCTCATAAAGTTTGCCTGTCTGGTTATGTCGCCGTGTAGCCCTACGTGCTGAAGGTTTGAAGCTGTCGATCATGCACAACGAAGTGGTGTGCAACCAGGCCCTGTGGATGCGACCTCCTAACGTCGTTGGCGTTGGAAGAGCATGAAGTCCCGTGTGTGTGGCATCACCCGGGTAATCATTTCCTCCATGAGCATTCCAATCGCCCATGATCACTTCTACAGCATCAGCAGGAAAACATTGACGGATGGAATCCAAGTCCATAAGAGCTTGCCTCCTCTCTTTAACCAAATTTGATGGCCGCATATAGACTGAAACGAAAACGTAGACTCGTTCACCTAGAGGAATTTGCACTGCACAAATGTTGTCTCCACCATCCCAACGCGTGTACTGCGACTCAGACCAGTGGACATACATCTCAAGCGTCATTAACCATCCAGCTTTGTTGTTGGTAACCAAAACGAATTCTTCAAGATGGACCACACAAGGGCCCTGAGTGGCATGCATTTCACTAAGCGAAAGCATGTCCAACTTCGTCTTTCTCATGTACTGCAAAAGGAAAAGCAGCTTGTCACGATGACCCAAGTGGTGCCATGACATGCCTTGCGTGTTAAGCGTGGCAATGGACAGGGTGTTACGAGGTCCAAATGCCCTGCTCGTTCTGTACTCATGCCGAATTCGATTGTGACGACGTCCCCCCATAGGCTCATCTGCATAAGCATACAGGCTGGGCTCTTTAACATGCCGTTGACATCGCACCACAGGGTAAGAAGAGTCCCGGACAGGACGATCACCTGGGCCCACCCCGCGAGATAACCCAAGCAACCTTGACCCGATGTAGGTCACATCAGCAAACTTGGCCGCCATGATCACAAGGACCAAGACGTTTCTCTACCAACCACGAAGAGGCGTTGCTGCAGGTAGTGGAAGAACATACCGATGATCGCCATCATCGCGAGGCGGCCGTTTGCCAGCTCGGCATTGAGCTTCTTCGTCTTCTCAGCAGGATCCGCGGAGGTCAGCACCTTGAAGCCGAAATCACCGGCGTAGGCCGCCGTGCCGGGCTCCTGGGTCTGAGAGACCTCGCAGTAGGCCATGTACAGGATGATCTGACCCCAACCAGCCTGAGGCACCTTGGAGATAGCAGCCAAGCCATTTGGGATGTCAGCGAACTTCAAGCCAGCGGATGGGCTCAAGTAACCGGGGAACTTTCCGGTGATTTCCGGCGTGATGTATCCCATGGTTGCAAGCATTGCGATTCTTCCGTGCTTAAGTTCGGTGGCACGACGGCGCTTGAAGTTCTCCACGCTGCCATCCGCCGACAATCCTGCTGGATCCCAGAAGTAGTAGCGGCTTGCCTGAGCAGTGGAGCATGCAGCCCCCCACTCTAAAAAGGCTGTGATTAACCGATGCCCATTCGTGGCGGATCTCGCGAGCCACTGGGCAGTTCACGCACTATTGCAGGCTGCACTCGTGGTGCCGTGTCATGCATGAAACTGTCGTCATGAGTCTTGCGCCTAAGGCGAGACTTGGGCTGTGCAGTAGCAGGCCTAGGACCTGCAATGGCAGCGCTGGGTGTAGCATCAGACGCTGATCGTGGTGCCGTATCATGCAACTGTGCGCCATCATGAGCATCTTGCGGGGCTTTACGCCTAAAGCGTGCCCTGCTCTGAGCACTCGCGACAGATGAAACAACAGCTGCACCTGCACAGGGCGTGGCAGCATGTCGTGGTGCATTGGGGGGTGAATGGCCGGTGGACGGGGGGAGGGCGGATGTGTGGGGTTGGGGTCTTGCATCGGCAGGAGCAACAGGAGCAGATGATGCAGATGGAGCTGGAGCCTCGCTGTCATAGCGTGCTCTCATGCCAGGTGTGACCCAGTCGGGAGCCTTCGGGACGGGAAGAACGGGCCGGCAGGTAGTCCTGGCAAAATTGGCATGACGGTGCTTCCAAGGCCAGGAACGCCCGCAAGCAAGACAGAAGATCAAACCATAAGTGGCCGTATTGGCAGCGTCTTTGCCGTTTTTGCGATTCCACACAATGTGATGATGGCCCGTGTTGAGCACATCCTGAAGGTTGGCCTGAAGATCATCGAGCCTGGGCCTAGACGTGGCCTGCATCCGGCCTGGGGCGGTGAGCCATCTGGCCTGGGGAAGGTCCTTGTTGCGACAGACCTTGTTCAATATCTTGGCACGGAGGTGCTTGGTGTATTGTGTTTGCTTGCCGCACTTGACGCAGAAAAGACCGCCATCAGGGCGGGCTTGAATGACGTGTCCACGACGCTCAGCCGGCACAGCTTGTGCCTGCTGTACGGGTGGATCGGAAGGCGGCGGCCCAGGGGGTGGCGCTGGTGGTTGTACCGTCGCGCCCTGCGCATCATCAGTGAAAGACTGGATGTGCTCTTGCCAGATGTCGACCAACATGGTCTGGATGCGGTGGACGTTCTGAACGGACATGCGCATACGGGCATTGACAATGGCACATGCTTTAAAGCACACGGGAAAAGACGCGAAGGACCGTAGCAAAGACCGCAGTGGTGCTCTGTGATGCTGGTAGAGAGGGCAGCGCCAAGAAATGTGGAAGAGGTCGGGGGAACCGCCACACCTGCACTTGATGGTACCCTGGTGTCGTCTGTGGCGGTGGTTGCGTTCTGGGTTCATTAAACCTCCAATCAAGAGTAGCCGAAGCACCTTCAACCGAGCCCGCGGGTCCTCAGACGCAGGGGGAGGGACAGCTAGGTCAAGATCTAGGAGATACTGAAGCCTATCGGCTTGCTCAGCCCACATGTTTAGCAGTGAACACGTGACGTCACGGTTGACACCATGTTGAACCCCGGCAAAATGCTGAGAGCGATCTCTTGCTAACCGCTTCCAAGCCTGAACCCGAAACAACTCTCGGACATCGTGCTTCCACGAGTGGGGGAGGACTCGGCCAGCCAACATGTCAGTGATGACCTGTCCAAAGACGGGAGAGTCACGAAGTTGTCTCACGCGTGCGGTGGGACCCTCGCGGATTGGTGGGCGAACCGCAAGATCAGCGGCCAACTGCCTCCGGAGAGCCGCGGTGCGATAGGCGCGCAACACAAGGTTAAGGGCTGCAGATTGCAGTGCAAACTCGGGTTCCAAAGACGGGGGCGCGAGTAAAGCAAACAAAGCCCAGGGCGAGGCACTGTAATTGTCAGTATTAAGCAACGCACAAACACAGTTGAACCGAAGGTGGCGTGCTGGATCCCAGAATCCCACGGGGGCCTGCACTCCAAGCTCGTTCTCGAACGCTCGCAGAGGCGAGGCGGTGTAGTTAGCCCAGTCTCCCCAGGCGCTGCCGGTGAGGCCATCCTCGCTACGACACGCGACATCTCAACAGCAAACATCAGAACGCCAAAACTACAAGTACCTGAGGCAGACGAACTATTATAAACCTAGTATTTTGCTTATCTTTGCTGCGTGCCTGGAAGAACATACCGATGATCGCCATCATCGCGAGGCGGCCGTTTGCCAGCTCGGCATTGAGCTTCTTCGTCTTCTCAGCAGGATCCGCGGAGGTCAGCACCTTGAAGCCGAAATCACCGGCGTAGGCCGCCGTGCCGGGCTCCTGGGTCTGAGAGACCTCGCAGTAGGCCATGTACAGGATGATCTGACCCCAACCAGCCTGAGGCACCTTGGAGATAGCAGCCAAGCCATTTGGGATGTCAGCGAACTTCAAGCCAGCGGATGGGCTCAAGTAACCGGGGAACTTTCCGGTGATTTCCGGCGTGATGTATCCCATGGTTGCAAGCATTGCGATTCTTCCGTGCTTAAGTTCGGTGGCACGACGGCGCTTGAAGTTCTCCACGCTGCCATCCGCCGACAATCCTGCAGGATCCCAGAATCCCACGGGGGCCTGCACTCCAAGCTCGTTCTCGAACGCTCGCAGAGGCGAGGCGGTGTAGGTGTAGTCTTTGTCGTAGTGCAGCAACCTAGCTCGGGTTTTCCGCACAAGAAAAGGGAGACAGGGCAGCAGCCCAGCAAAAAGGGAAGCTCACGGCCCAGGGCAAGGCCGGCGCATCCAAGTTTTCGCATAAGCACGCGACACAGATTTGTGGCACACAGTGCAAAGAGGCTGAGACAACCTCGCAGCGTCAGTACTCATCACATGCCAACCGTGCCGGCGGGCTTGAGTGTTGTGTTCACGAAGATGCTCAATGAAAACTTTTTCACGGGTGGTTTTGAGGGTAGCAGCTCTGGTGTGGCTACCTCGTTTATCGACCTTAAGGCCTACCAGGGGACCTAACTTAGAGCAGATCAAGGCACACGCATGAGAGAAAGAAGTAGAAGAGAATTCGGCATTGCAGTGCTGACAAGTGAGGAGCTTGGATTCCAACACGAAAACATGCTTGCCGGCCTTAGCAGCCTCAGCGTTGTGGTTGTCCACACGCTTGGCAAGGACACGAGCCCCCGCAACGCTGGCAGCTTCAGCTTTTGTAGGTTTAACGATGCGCCCAGTCTTTTTGAACTCCTGGACTGCAAGGGCTGCAGCCTTTGGGTTTGGAAAGACGCCAAGATTGCTGGTTTTACCTTTGATGGTGATTCTAGCAGCGAAAGTACCACTAGCCTTAGGGACAACGTGAAGAAAACGACCGTCCTTACCAAGCGGCAAACCTTCAGGACTATGGGTAGGAGCGGGTTCGTTACCAGCTAAAGCTTGGGCCGCACTGCCGCGGCGCGCACGCGACCTAGCCGCATTCGTTTTGGGTGTAGCGGGCGCGGGCATTTCGTCAGCATCCGACCCTTCCGAAGCACAACCGTCGTATTCATCAGATTGCCGGTGACGAACGGGCACAAAAATGCCCATCTTGACGGATTCGGCATTTCGGGCATTCACAACCGCAATCATACAGCGGTGGGCAGCGAGTACAAGGCGATCATGCCCGATCAGGGCCTGGAAGACCCGAGCATCCGGCAAACGAGTTTTGGCCGCTTGAACAGCAAGTTTATGAGCGCCAGCATTGCCAAGGCGATCAAGAGAAGAGATGCGGTTCGCAGTAACGTCATCAGGAGAAGTGTGAGCAGGGATTTTAGAAACCTGCAACCAATTTTCGGGATGAGCACGGAGAGTGTTTGCAAGTTGTAGCCACAACGCGTCGTCGGGCTCCCAAAGATGACGCTCAAGAAGGCAAGACTGGACTCCGTCCACAACATACTGGCAATCAGTACGGATGTGCAGAGGCCGAGCTGAAGCACACGCAACGGCACAGAAGGCAGCGAGCTCGGAGCGCTCGACAGATTGCACAGGGCCTAAGATGCCAAAACCGAAATTAAAGGGGGAATCGGGTGCAAAAAAGATCCCCGCACCAGCACGCGCAATACGCGGGTCATGGCGGTGGATGACGGAGCCATCAACCCACACGTCGAGGATACCTTCACCTTCAGGCAGAGCAAGACGGGGCAGAGAGAAGTCCTCCGCGGAAAGGCGGGAGATGACAGCCTGCAGGCAATCAGGCACAGGAAAGATGCCACAAAGGTTGGTGTATGCTTCCCACCCCTGAATGACGGACACAGAAGGCAGGGTAAATTGACTGCGAACGGAATTCCACCTGGGACAACTCCAAAAGAGGTGGAAAAGCGACTCAGTGGCACGTTTGCAGAAGGGGCAAAGGCCAGAGTCAACTCTTCCCTGTTTGAAGAGTGCGTGTTGTGTGAGCACACCATTGCACAAGATGGACCTGAGGACGCCTTTATCATACTGGGAAACGTTCTTCAAGAGCAAGAAAGCGCGGGTAGCAACAAAATCCACCCCGGGGCCTAAACCTTTAAGGCAGGGACGCTTGGCAGCACGCGCAAGGACAGTGAGCCGTGCAAGACTACGCAGGGTATCAAGGAAATGAGTGCGATCACTACTCAGAAGAGATAAAGAACCATTATTCCATTCCAGCTTAAAGGGTTCGGACCAGTGGATTCCAAGCAGAGAGCACGCACGCTGCACCTGGGCACCAAGGCCGAAACGACCTTGCACACCTGAGCCTGCACGGTGATGCCACACCGAGGTCCACATGTCATGAACATCAGGCCACCTGCGTAAGAAGGAGTTAGCATTACGAAGAGTGTGCAAGACACGTACTTGATGCGGGTCAATCAGATAGCCTGTGGTGCACAAGCCGAAGAAGACATCACGCGAGGCAAAACATCGCGTGAAATTAAGAGCTTCGGCGACTGCATGCCTGAGTTTACTTTCTTCGGCAATGGGGTGACCCCCTAGTTCTAAGCCAGGTTGCCACGTGGGAATGACAACAGTGGCAACGCAAGAATGCTTGGCTTCGAAGTGCAAAGGGGCGTATTGGATACGCCGCGCGGCCGTGATGGCTTCCAGAGACCGATCTCTCCCGATATCGCAGTTTGCGGCCGAACGTGAAGGCAACCCGACTCCTAAAAGCTTACCACAACTGGCGGGGACGACCGCGTAAGGACCGTGAGAGAAAGCATGAAACTGCTGTTCAAGCGACAAGTGAGTAACTAGCAAACCAGTCTTATCCCGATTAGGAATAGAACCTGAGAGGCGGTCAAACTCGTCAGTGAGGTCGACGCCCTTCTGAAGGGCTGGACGAGAGCAAGCCCGCAACGAACGATCGTCAACAAAAGCACCACTCTGTGTATCAGGGGCTTCAGCGCGTAAGACGCGGGCCCAGACCGCCGTCAAGGCGTTTACTGAAATGACAGACAGGGGGCATCCTTGTGGAGTCCCATTCGTGCAAAGAAGCGGTGAGGCCACAGAAGGGCCGAGGCGGAACCAACGATGAGCACACGTGGCCATGTGGCGCTTGGGTCCGGAAACCTGGGTGGGACAGCCAAAGTGATCGAGTAAAGGATACTCGATCTGCCACGGAAGACGGTCAAAAAATTTGGACAAATCAAGCAGTAAAATGGCAAGAGGTGCCCCCCCACTGCAAGCATGTTCAAGTTCAAGGGCGACTCTGAGGTATAAGTCGGAGGAGCGGCGCCCGGAAACTCCGCCATAAACCTGGGGAGGTGCCCATTTGGCCTGCCAAGATGCTAAGTCCCGCGCGCGATGGGTGGCCCATGCGCGATAAAGCTTTGACGCGATTGTGATTGGACGAACGTCATCTGTCGAGACGCCATTTGGCTTTGGAATTAATGTGACAAGCAAATTAAGGAGATTACTCGGCCAGACGCCACACTTCTCAATCACAGTAAGAAGTTCGCACAAGCGACACCAAACGATGTCAGGCCAAAGCTTGAAAGCCTCGCAGTCCCACGCATCGAGTCCAGAGGCCTTGCGGCCGCATCCACACGCAAAACGTTTGAGCCTGCGGAAATCGAGCGGGGGAATAGCAACATCACACTTTAGGATGTACGACCCGTACCTAGCAAAGAAGTCATCCCAACTAGGCGGTTCACTAGAAGAGTAGTGCCGGTATATGTCACTCCATTTTTTAACGACTTTTTGCAACAAAACCTCAGGTGCGGCACACAGGCCGCTGGGCGTGGTTGTAAACTCAGGTGTGGCCGTCAGAGCCTTGCGCAAGCGAATCCACTTGTAGACTGCCTGCTTGGTTGCGCTCCAACTAGCTTGAAGTTTGGAACGCCAATTATTGATGCGAATGCGATTCTCAAGTTGCAGCTCGCAATGCACAGAGTTTTTGACTTGTTCCGCAGCAAGGGACAGAGACGAAAAGTCGCAACTGCACAACTGACTAAGGTCGCGAGTAATCGCGGCAAGCTGTGAGTCTGTAAGCAGACCTGAGGCAAACTGGAAGGCGCATTCCTGAATGCGACGCTGCAACTTAAAAAGCCGTGCAACACGGATGGAAAGACTCCCTGCGTCGACGGACTGAGGCTTAAAAAGAAGCCTGGAGCGAGTTGAAGGGGACACGCCCCGATCAACTGGAACTTTTTTGCCATGCAACAGGGACAAGGATTTACTGCAAAAGAGCTGCCAAGCATCGTCAATGCGAGAGTTGTGGATGTGATCACACCACTCGTCATCCTGACTGGGGAAGAAAGTCAAGATTAAGGCGTCTCGCTGGGCGCTGCTCAAGGGCAGACAAGGAAACGGTTTAGGCGAACGAAACACCTTAATCTTTGCGTCGAAGGCCGGCAGTTTTAGGGAAGCACTAAGGCCTAAATGATTAGGGATGTCAAGGGGGATGACCTTAAAATCAGAGACGAACGGGCGTGCTGATTTACTGCAAAGTATGACGTCGATACGGGTTTGCACGAGCTTTTTGTGACGCACGGCCTGGAAAGTATAGTGATTACCCGACTCGGCGCCGAGATCACTCCAGCCGCCAATAGAGCAAGCGGAAACGCATGATGGGCTAAGCATGGGATCGCAATTAAGGTCGGCACAAACGAAGCACGGAACGGTGCCGAAACCGGCCAGCCACGCGAACAGTTCTGAGAGGAATGCCTCATTTTCCTGGAACTTCTGCGGATTTTTCTGAGGGTGAGCGCCAGAGATACCGAGGCGAGGCGGTGTAGTTAGCCCAGTCTCCCCAGGCGCTGCCGGTGAGGCCATCCTCGCTACGACACGCGACATCTCAACAGCAAACATCAGAACGCCAAAACTACAAGTACCTGAGGCAGACGAACTATTATAAACCTAGTATTTTGCTTATCTTTGCTGCGTGCCTGGAAGAACATACCGATGATCGCCATCATCGCGAGGCGGCCGTTTGCCAGCTCGGCATTGAGCTTCTTCGTCTTCTCAGCAGGATCCGCGGAGGTCAGCACCTTGAAGCCGAAATCACCGGCGTAGGCCGCCGTGCCGGGCTCCTGGGTCTGAGAGACCTCGCAGTAGGCCATGTACAGGATGATCTGACCCCAACCAGCCTGAGGCACCTTGGAGATAGCAGCCAAGCCATTTGGGATGTCAGCGAACTTCAAGCCAGCGGATGGGCTCAAGTAACCGGGGAACTTTCCGGTGATTTCCGGCGTGATGTATCCCATGGTTGCAAGCATTGCGATTCTTCCGTGCTTAAGTTCGGTGGCACGACGGCGCTTGAAGTTCTCCACGCTGCCATCCGCCGACAATCCTGCAGGATCCCAGAATCCCACGGGGGCCTGCACTCCAAGCTCGTTCTCGAACGCTCGCAGAGGCGAGGCGGTGTAGTTAGCCCAGTCTCCCCAGGCGCTGCCGGTGAGGCCATCCTCGCTACGACACGCGACATCTCAACAGCAAACATCAGAACGCCAAAACTACAAGTACCTGAGGCAGACGAACTATTATAAACCTAGTATTTTGCTTATCTTTGCTGCGTGCCTGGAAGAACATACCGATGATCGCCATCATCGCGAGGCGGCCGTTTGCCAGCTCGGCATTGAGCTTCTTCGTCTTCTCAGCAGGATCCGCGGAGGTCAGCACCTTGAAGCCGAAATCACCGGCGTAGGCCGCCGTGCCGGGCTCCTGGGTCTGAGAGACCTCGCAGTAGGCCATGTACAGGATGATCTGACCCCAACCAGCCTGAGGCACCTTGGAGATAGCAGCCAAGCCATTTGGGATGTCAGCGAACTTCAAGCCAGCGGATGGGCTCAAGTAACCGGGGAACTTTCCGGTGATTTCCGGCGTGATGTATCCCATGGTTGCAAGCATTGCGATTCTTCCGTGCTTAAGTTCGGTGGCACGACGGCGCTTGAAGTTCTCCACGCTGCCATCCGCCGACAATCCTGCTGGATCCCAGAATCCCACGGGGGCCTGCACTCCAAGCTCGTTCTCGAACGCTCGCAGAGGCGAGGCGGTGTAGTTAGCCCAGTCTCCCCAGGCGCTGCCGGTGAGGCCATCCTCGCTACGACACGCGACATCTCAACAGCAAACATCAGAACGCCAAAACTACAAGTACCTGAGGCAGACGAACTATTATAAACCTAGTATTTTGCTTATCTTTGCTGCGTGCCTGGAAGAACATACCGATGATCGCCATCATCGCGAGGCGGCCGTTTGCCAGCTCGGCATTGAGCTTCTTCGTCTTCTCAGCAGGATCCGCGGAGGTCAGCACCTTGAAGCCGAAATCACCGGCGTAGGCCGCCGTGCCGGGCTCCTGGGTCTGAGAGACCTCGCAGTAGGCCATGTACAGGATGATCTGACCCCAACCAGCCTGAGGCACCTTGGAGATAGCAGCCAAGCCATTTGGGATGTCAGCGAACTTCAAGCCAGCGGATGGGCTCAAGTAACCGGGGAACTTTCCGGTGATTTCCGGCGTGATGTATCCCATGGTTGCAAGCATTGCGATTCTTCCGTGCTTAAGTTCGGTGGCACGACGGCGCTTGAAGTTCTCCACGCTGCCATCCGCCGACAATCCTGCTGGATCCCAGAATCCCACGGGGGCCTGCACTCCAAGCTCGTTCTCGAACGCTCGCAGAGGCGAGGCGGTGTAGTTAGCCCAGTCTCCCCAGGCGCTGCCGGTGAGGCCATCCTCGCTACGACACGCGACATCTCAACAGCAAACATCAGAACGCCAAAACTACAAGTACCTGAGGCAGACGAACTATTATAAACCTAGTATTTTGCTTATCTTTGCTGCGTGCCTGGAAGAACATACCGATGATCGCCATCATCGCGAGGCGGCCGTTTGCCAGCTCGGCATTGAGCTTCTTCGTCTTCTCAGCAGGATCCGCGGAGGTCAGCACCTTGAAGCCGAAATCACCGGCGTAGGCCGCCGTGCCGGGCTCCTGGGTCTGAGAGACCTCGCAGTAGGCCATGTACAGGATGATCTGACCCCAACCAGCCTGAGGCACCTTGGAGATAGCAGCCAAGCCATTTGGGATGTCAGCGAACTTCAAGCCAGCGGATGGGCTCAAGTAACCGGGGAACTTTCCGGTGATTTCCGGCGTGATGTATCCCATGGTTGCAAGCATTGCGATTCTTCCGTGCTTAAGTTCGGTGGCACGACGGCGCTTGAAGTTCTCCACGCTGCCATCCGCCGACAATCCTGCAGGATCCCAGAATCCCACGGGGGCCTGCACTCCAAGCTCGTTCTCGAACGCTCGCAGAGGCGAGGCGGTGTAGTTAGCCCAGTCTCCCCAGGCGCTGCCGGTGAGGCCATCCTCGCTACGACACGCGACATCTCAACAGCAAACATCAGAACGCCAAAACTACAAGTACCTGAGGCAGACGAACTATTATAAACCTAGTATTTTGCTTATCTTTGCTGCGTGCCTGGAAGAACATACCGATGATCGCCATCATCGCGAGGCGGCCGTTTGCCAGCTCGGCATTGAGCTTCTTCGTCTTCTCAGCAGGATCCGCGGAGGTCAGCACCTTGAAGCCGAAATCACCGGCGTAGGCCGCCGTGCCGGGCTCCTGGGTCTGAGAGACCTCGCAGTAGGCCATGTACAGGATGATCTGACCCCAACCAGCCTGAGGCACCTTGGAGATAGCAGCCAAGCCATTTGGGATGTCAGCGAACTTCAAGCCAGCGGATGGGCTCAAGTAACCGGGGAACTTTCCGGTGATTTCCGGCGTGATGTATCCCATGGTTGCAAGCATTGCGATTCTTCCGTGCTTAAGTTCGGTGGCACGACGGCGCTTGAAGTTCTCCACGCTGCCATCCGCCGACAATCCTGCTGGATCCCAGAATCCCACGGGGGCCTGCACTCCAAGCTCGTTCTCGAACGCTCGCAGAGGCGAGGCGGTGTAGTTAGCCCAGTCTCCCCAGGCGCTGCCGGTGAGGCCATCCTCGCTACGACACGCGACATCTCAACAGCAAACATCAGAACGCCAGAACTACAAGTACCTGAGGCAGACGAACTATTATAAACCTAGTATTTTGCTTATCTTTGCTGCGTGCCTGGAAGAACATACCGATGATCGCCATCATCGCGAGGCGGCCGTTTGCCAGCTCGGCATTGAGCTTCTTCGTCTTCTCAGCAGGATCCGCGGAGGTCAGCACCTTGAAGCCGAAATCACCGGCGTAGGCCGCCGTGCCGGGCTCCTGGGTCTGAGAGACCTCGCAGTAGGCCATGTACAGGATGATCTGACCCCAACCAGCCTGAGGCACCTTGGAGATAGCAGCCAAGCCATTTGGGATGTCAGCGAACTTCAAGCCAGCGGATGGGCTCAAGTAACCGGGGAACTTTCCGGTGATTTCCGGCGTGATGTATCCCATGGTTGCAAGCATTGCGATTCTTCCGTGCTTAAGTTCGGTGGCACGACGGCGCTTGAAGTTCTCCACGCTGCCATCCGCCGACAATCCTGCTGGATCCCAGAATCCCACGGGGGCCTGCACTCCAAGCTCGTTCTCGAACGCTCGCAGAGGCGAGGCGGTGTAGTTAGCCCAGTCTCCCCAGGCGCTGCCGGTGAGGCCATCCTCGCTACGACACGCGACATCTCAACAGCAAACATCAGAACGCCAAAACTACAAGTACCTGAGGCAGACGAACTAATTACTATGAATTTATTAGACTGCTTATCTTTGCTGCGTGCCTGGAAGAACATACCGATGATCGCCATCATCGCGAGGCGGCCGTTTGCCAGCTCGGCATTGAGCTTCTTCGTCTTCTCAGCAGGATCCGCGGAGGTCAGCACCTTGAAGCCGAAATCACCGGCGTAGGCCGCCGTGCCGGGCTCCTGGGTCTGAGAGACCTCGCAGTAGGCCATGTACAGGATGATCTGACCCCAACCAGCCTGAGGCACCTTGGAGATAGCAGCCAAGCCATTTGGGATGTCAGCGAACTTCAAGCCAGCGGATGGGCTCAAGTAACCGGGGAACTTTCCGGTGATTTCCGGCGTGATGTATCCCATGGTTGCAAGCATTGCGATTCTTCCGTGCTTAAGTTCGGTGGCACGACGGCGCTTGAAGTTCTCCACGCTGCCATCCGCCGACAATCCTGCTGGATCCCAGAATCCCACGGGGGCCTGCACTCCAAGCTCGTTCTCGAACGCTCGCAGAGGCGAGGCGGTGTAGTTAGCCCAGTCTCCCCAGGCGCTGCCGGTGAGGCCATCCTCGCTACGACACGCGACATCTCAACAGCAAACATCAGAACGCCAAAACTACAAGTACCTGAGGCAGACGAACTACTATGAGTTTATTAGACTGCTTATCTTTGCTGCGTGCCTGGAAGAACATACCGATGATCGCCATCATCGCGAGGCGGCCGTTTGCCAGCTCGGCAGACAGTTTTTTTGTCTTTTCAGCAGGATCCGCGGAGGTCAGCACCTTGAAGCCGTAGTCACCCGGGGTGCCACTCTTGTAGTCATCGAAGCCACCGCTGAACTCCACGAAGCCAAAGTATGCGGCAATCTGCGCCCAGCCTGCCACGGGCACCTTGGAGACAGCCGCCAGGCCGTTCGGGATGTCAGCGAACTTCAAGCCGGCGGACGGCGACAAGAAGCCCGGCCTAAAGCTTAGCAACCTACATCCTACGTACAACTAGAGCGCGCTCTTCTAACGCTAGAGGAGAGCACAGTTCTTCTGACCCGCTCCGAAAAAGAAGCAAATGCATCTGCGACATCGCTATTCTGAGAACGAGGCAGTTTGCCGGTGATCTCTGGTGTAATGTAACCTGAGGTCTGGAGATGGGGAACTGTAGGTTATTCATTGATGTCAGTTTGGATCACCCGAACCCGGGAAGCCGTGAAACTAGGCCGTGATGGACAGCTCCAAAGGGATTAAGGAAACGAAGCTTTTAGCAGGGCAGGGTTAGGGTTTATAGGAAAATACAACTGGGCGGTTCATGGAGCTGAAGCCATGAAGACACGAGCCATTTACTGCCGAGTTGAGTCTGTAATCCGAGATACTGCTACGGCTGATGCGGCTTCGATGGAACCCCTGCACTCCTTGCCCGTGCTCTCTTAGCCTTCCTGTCTGAAGAACTCCGATAGCCGTGTATCAGGCTCCTGACGCCGTGCATCCCTGAAGGGACTTCATAGCATGCATTCTGATCCCACGTTCTCACCGCAGAAACACATTATGGAGTCGGCAAGGTCTGAAACTAAGCGGCTGGGAAGGCAAAACCCAGATCGCCACCTGACTCTTGCCTGGCGGTCTCCTGCTGTCGGGAGGCATCAAACACCCCCTCCGTACTGGCTAGACCGGAAACGCCCAACTCACCTCCCACATATGGACCTTGAAAGCCCCGCACTGAACCAGAACTTTACTCGATGGATCATCGGACTTCGTAAACCGAGTTCAGATTAAACTTAAGGCAGCATGGCCACAATGACATCGAGACTCTGGTGGCCTAGCCAGAATACCAATCGCCTTATTAACCATGTGCCCTTCACCCGAGGTTTTAAAGTTTGAGAGTCGCTTTGTGGAGGCTTGAGCAGTGTTGCGCGATCAGGGCTTCGGGGCCTCGAGGCTTAACAACTCCAAGCCAATGTTGGGCCTGTGGCTTAGCATCCAGGAGTAGGGTTCCTGATCAGGCCGCGGAACCCATAGTGGCCATCATCGAGATGCGGCCATGCTTCCTGAGCGTGTGTGGGACTTAGGACGTCCGTGCATAGGGCCTCGGCCACGCATTCAAGGTTTGAGGCATCTTCCAAGCTAATGATCCCGCTTATCGAGGACATTTTCGAAGCACGATTCGCAAGCTTCGTGCAGCAGCCATGAAACTAGATTTTTCAGTGCAAAGGTCACAGAGGCTGTCGTCGTTAAGGGCTTAGTGTGTCAGTTCTACATTCTAGAATTTCCTGGCGGCAGGTGTGATTCGTAACCGGCAGACACCGAAATCCAGGATATCTAGTCAGTCCATTGGCGTCGACGCCACTCGCAGAACTCAGAATGGCCAACCATCTTCGCGAAACCCTCTGGTCCGTCTCACATAGAAGCCCCATACACCTTGCAAACAAGTAACGCCAAGCTCATGTAACCATGATAGGTACCTATGAAAGCCTGGCGCTTCCTGGTATCCTCCTAGGTGGCTACATTCTTCGGCTTCCACCCCAAAAACCTCGCAGCCTCGCGATGTGTGGATCTCACCCATAGACAGCGGAACCCAGACCTTCATCGGAGCCTCCAAACGTCTAAAACGGCCGTTTCCTGACAGAGGCTTGGAAAAATCATTTCTGTGATCGGGAGTTTATCGGTCAAGGCCCCTCCCAGACCCGAAGTCCCAAATCATGCTTGTGGTTTTGCTGGGCGTCTCCTTTCTTGGGGTTCCATGCAGCTTATATATCCTCTATATAGCCTATGTAGACCCCAGGGCCCAACCCTGAGGCCTAAGCGTAGACCCACCAACATACGCACACCCCTACCCTCAGAGTCTGAACTCCAAAGCCGATAAGTCCTACATCCTACGCTGGCCCCTACACCCCTGTCTTCCAACCTCCCTCGTCCTAAAACAAGACATACACCAGAACAGTCCTAACCCCTAACCCCTACGTCCTAAACCCCAAGCCGGTTCCAGGCTTTAGGAGACTTCAGCAAAGGGGCAGCTCGACGGAGCGACGCCTCTTAAAGGCCGCCACATCTCCTGGGTTCAAGGATGATAACTACAGGGTTTAGGGTTTAGGCTTTATAGGGGTATATCATAGCATGCTCGTATCAAGGAGCAGTAAGGGCTTCATGGAAATTTTCCGTTTTAGTTAAGGTTCTTTTGGAGGTTCCTGTAGGGGTTCCTATGACGGCTTGGAGAAGAGCACCAAGGCTCCCGACTTTTCACCTCAGGGTTGAGGCGTTATAGGGTTTTCTGGTTTCAGGATTCCGGATCAACAAACTACATCCAGCGGCTTTATGCCATTTGGACTTGCGTTTCACTGTGGCCAGCGGCACACCCTGGCGAAATGAAGGGAGTCCACATGGCCTTAAGGAGACTGCAACAATCCGGAATAAAAATGCCCTTCGTAGTTAGCTCGCTGAAGTGTGGATTCAACAGCAGCCGCAACTATGATTTTGTGGATACCTAAAGAATCGCCCGCTGCGAGCATTGCTCGGGCCTACAGATTGAAAAATGTCAATTAGTCTGGAAGCTTTGCCCTTGTCCTTAAGTAAGATTTCTGGATCTGACAGTTTGCGTTTCGGGGTCTAGGGCGTCAAGGTTTGAGGCGGCTTGTCCGTGGACTTCTAAGCTTTAGTTACTTTAGTTGCATTTCCTTTGGCATTCTTGGGGTCAAGGTACTTGCAACAATTCGCTTTGAGTTCGTAGCACGTAGGCCTGGGGGCCTTCGTAGGGTGTGTTTGTGTGTTTGTGTGCGTGTAGAGAAGGATACTCCGAGGTTGCGAAGATTGCTGCAAGATTACCAATGCTCATGCGACATGTGGTCTGACAACGAACTTATACTGATGAACATTTGCAGGTTGGGTTTAGGGATCAGGAATACGGCGCGCTCGCTCATGAACCTGTCAGCCTCTAATCCCAAGCCAACCATGCAACAAACTATAAACAGTTAAGGCACACCCGACTGGACCGCGTATAGTCGAAATCCTCAATGTCTTTGATGCTAGCGCCTTTACCCTACGCGTAATAAAGCCGTGAAGCCGGAACACACACACACACACACACACACACACACACACACAAACACACACACACACACACACACCAAAAACAAAGGCAAACAAAGAACGTGCCGAAGCATCAGCCCTGTAATCAGCACAACTGCAGGTCTTCTGCGACCGAGAAGCCATCTGAGGTGAACCCCACTGGATCCCAGAAACCCACGGGATCCTGCCTCAGTGGATATTAAAATTCTGTCTTCTTTCTTCTGAATTCCGCGCTTTTCGATATGCTACGAAAGTGATGATTATTGACTCAATTATTGCCACTTGCAGCTCTCTCTGCTCGCGAGTCTATGATTGCTCTTGCGGTTGTTGGTCTTGGCTGCCACTCCTGTACCAGTCCATCTTTAACAGACTGACCATGCTGGTCACCGTCGGCATGATGTTCCTCTTCATTGTTAGTGTTTCGCTCGCTGCAAAACCACTGTCCTACGGTGATTGTTGTCAGCCTGGCTGGCTTCTACTGGAACTTCTCTTTGTCTGCAACGAAGCGCTTCTCTGTCGTTCTCTGTCCAAGCCGCACCCCGAGCTCGCTTTCAAAGGCGTTCAGAGCCACCTGGAGGCAAGGCTGAGGGCACTCCGGGGTCTGTAGCCTCAGGAGTATATGGGAGTTTCCGAAAATAAGGGACCCGAATATAGTAATAGTAGGATCCTCATTATACTGACCCCAAAATACCTACCCCTAATTTTCCGAAACTCCCATAAAGGGTCGCGGGGCGGCGGGAGGTTGGACCTCCAGACTTGTTCTCACGTAAACTAATTGAGTGATGGTGGCCCGAAGGCCTTTAGAATCTGATAAACAGTACGTGGGAAACTTCATCTAAAGCCCCAACCCGAAACTGAACGTCGCATGGAATGACGTAAAGTAATACAATATCGTTTCGCCCAAAAAATTGTGCGGTTTTCGTCTCGGGACTTTCATAATCGATCTGTGGCGTCGGAAAACCCAGTTTGAGGTCCAGCGGGCGGGAAATGTTCGAGGGTTTTCGTACTCTTCAAGCAGATTAACTATGGCTCCAGAACCATCGGATGACTGATCCGAAGCCCGGCAAGCCTGAGCCAAAACGCAGGAGAGCCTCTGACCGGAAAGCCTCCAACACCAAATCCCCAAAAGCACCTTGAACACTACTAGGGTTTAAGACCAACCCTAAATCCTAAACCCCATATAAATGTTACATAGCACTATAAGGCCACGACAATGCCCCAAAGAACCCGAAAGCCCAAATCTCGGCAAGCGGCTCGTTTTGAGGAGCTGCTGAAGCCGACCTCTCGTGGTTGCCGGGTTCTTGAGGCAGTTGTTCCGAAACTTTCTACAGCCATCAAATTCCGTAACACCTCACGTACAGCACGGTCTTGGCGCGTAAAAGGGGGAGGGTGCTATGAGTGTATTTTGGGAAATGATAAGAGGTTTTGTCCAAGCGACCTGTCGCTTTCGGGGCCTAGGGTTGAAGGCTGTAGGGTTTGGCGTGCCTTCGGGGTGGGTGCTGCAAGCCTCTTTGGCACTGCGTAGGCGGTTGGGTTTGGGGGATTGATTTACGACTTAGGCGTGTCGGGCTCTATTTAAAGCCCCGTCTGCAAGATCCACACCCTGAAATCAAAACCTGCAGCACCTGCGAGGTGATTTGCGCTGTCGGGATGGCAGGTGTGTGATGGAAGCACGTGACTTATGATGATGAGCGACGATGTGTGGCAGGCTCGGATGCAGCAGCGGGATGTTCGATTCTGAATATCCAATCGACTACACCTGGCAATACATCCTTGTTTAGGGCTCAACGTGTCGAAAACCGAAGGCCTATGGCCTGAAGCTCCAGCAAAGCGGTGTCGAAACTGTGCAATCCCCAACCCACTTTTCCTTTGAGGAAAAGTGCTACGACACGGATGCTCCAGACATCTCCATCCTCTTCAAGACCTGCCTGCATGAGGCTCACCATTCCCGAGCACCAGCTACCATCCCTGACCCGACAAGCCCTGTGTCCGCAAGCTCCGAGAGGCTTGAAACCAAGAAACCCCAAAGCCCCTGGAGCCTGCATCCACTCTAACCACTCTAAGCCCGAAACCCTGAAGCCCCAGAGCAACCTAACAACCCTAAACCCCTGAACCGTGAAGCCCTGACCCTGCGACCCTTTCCTCCTGCCAAAGCCCCACACCCTCAACCGCAAAACCCCTGAAGAACTCGGCCTGCACCCGCTTGGATGCAGCCGTGCCCAAAGCAAGTGCCGTGGACGCAGCACCCAAGCCAATGCTCAGGGCCTTGCTGGGGCATGCAGAGGCCTTTAATAATTAGAATAGGGCTTTGGGGGTTCCTTATTAAAACTATACAGGGGGGATATAGTCGACAGGGTGTAGGGTTAAGGAGTTTAGGGTTTGACCTGCAATTTACAGGCTCTAAAGGTTCAGGCTTGAAAGGGTTTAAGGCTTTAGGGGTCAGGGCTTTAGGGCTTAGGCTGAACAGTGGGAAGTGTTCATGCACAGGAGCTGCCAGTCACCATCCACGTCATAAGCAAGGGAAGGAAGACTGCAGGCATATCTGTATAGAAATTACCTGTATATAGGAACGGACGTGAGGGCTCTGACACCCTTTGCAAGCGCCCCCAATCTCTATACACTTAGACGAATGAATGTGACACGTATGCTATGTGTCTATGCAGGCATATAGAAATGTAGAGAGAGAGAGAGACAGAAGGAATCTTGCAAAGGGATAGTACATAAGTGAACATCCACTTATGAAAAGTTTGCTCTGCACAATGCCAAATACCCTATGCAAAAAAATGCACAAAAGACACAAGCATCAGCAAGAAACGTGATTTGCCGGACTGTGTATCATCCGCGAGGGTGAGTGATCTCTTCACACACCGAAGGTGATCCCCAGGCATCACAAGCAAGTCGGCTAAAGGACCCTGGACATGTCGGTATGTAGCACCATGATGAGAATAAACGGAAACCTTGTAAGTAATATCGTATACCAGGAATTGTTGAGGATTCAATGAATCCTCAACTCGAAGAACAACTACAACTCTATAGTGACCTCTGGAGTAGGACCCGGACGCTGCTGCTAGTGGCTCTGTCGGCCGTGGGGACTGAGACAGCCTGGCCGGTGAAAGCCCAAATTGTGAGCCACGGAGGGCCCCATTAATTTTGAAACTTGAAATCCTGCCCTGGGCCCCTAAATCCCTTTTTGGCTGCGGGGGGAGTGACCAGGCTTACGGCTTTGGAGGCTGCAGTTTAGGGCCGTGCTGCAGCCAACTGGATGCACAAGTCTCTTCAGCATTTCATGGGCTTTCGATTCGATGCTCTTTGCACGCCCAGGAAGTACAGAGGGAGTGCCGTGATCTGTCTTGAGGATTGGACGTCCCACCAGAGGTTCTCGTGTACTTTGGCCCGGACATCCTAAACAAAACAAGATGACTGCAAACCCCAGGTTAACTTGAAACAGATACCTCAAAGAGATGGATCAGTTCCGCCGCTATCCGTGCTCAACATAACTTCTGGACTGAGCTCGGCTGGCCTCTCCGGCCCTAGTGGCGCGGAGGCTCTTCGTCTGCGCCGTTGGCGCCACGAAAGCTGTGCTACAAAGGGCGGCAGCACCTGATCCACAGACAAGGTTGTCGGGCAGCATGCAGGGCTAACCCACCTCGCAGAACACCCCACCGTGCACTTCTGGCGATGATTCTATGAGCCAGCCAGGAGCTCCCCCCAAACCTGGAGCCTGAACTTTCGTCCAATATTTTTGCATCCGAAATCCTGAAGCTCAGTGAGTTTCGGTGAAGGTATTGGGAGAGCTCCCCACACCGTAAAGTATCCCTTTCTTTCCATCGTGGGATTCTATCGTACTGGCTCCCCAAAAAGGATGCTGATTTAGACGATTTTGGACAGTCCAAGACCATCGCCTGCAGCGCCCAGCGCCACAGTTGCTGTGCGGCCGGTGGAAGCCATCTGAAAGCTCGTGGAATTGCAAGTGTCTCGGGTTTGATAAGGAGTGAAAAGTCAACACTGTCTAGGGAAGGGTTTCTGGATCTTCCCTACGCCCCTACACACCCCGAATTTCATAAAGGTCTAGAAGTTCTGATATTAAGGGAGCCTGATAAAAAATGCAAAAATCATCTGACAGGCATACACAATTTTTCGTCAGTATCCAACATGTCTCACTTCCGTACACCTCAAGACAGACGCGTGTAGGGTTTGGGGTTTCTTGGGGAACTATTTCCTGCAGATCTTGAAGGTTCAGACTTCTGAGACAGCGTTCTTTCCAAGACCCCATGCGTTGAGCAGCGCTCGCTGACACGGACGAACAATCGAAGAGAAGCTCGAAATGAAGACAAACGAGATTAGTACTGAGTCTCGAACTGGCGGCATTTCTGTGTTGATGACATGCAGCATGATGCAAGGAACCGATAACAACAAAGCCATGAATAGATACACACATACACAACGCACATCTAGATTTACACTGACACACTCATACGAGGACTCACATATTGTTACAAGGTATGGCAACCACTCGACAACAGGTGTTGCAAAGCTCTGCCAACTGAATCTGAACACACAGGCCCTTGCACTCGGCCACATCTGACAAGAACTTTCCGCCGCATAATGGCAGTTGCACGAGTCGGAAAGGCGTGCCAACTGGTGCCCCACAACCCGTAACACCAGACTAATGAAAATCAACCTGTGAAGGGCCGGACTGCTCAAGAACGAACACTCGTAACGTTAGGTCTTGGGCTGAAGCAATAAGCCGTCGAGGACATTCCCCTCGAATCCCCATTCCCCAATGTGCAACTCAATCCTACAGTACTAACCTTATGCCTCTTGAAGCAGTCTGGGCCTCCCGGCGGAAGCAAAGAAAGGAAAATGAAGATAAAAAGATCGGTGCAAAGCTTGACAAGTCTTACGACGGGATGCCCCAGTCCTCGGTTCAGGGCTTCGGATATTCGGAAGCTTCTTCGGAATGCAGGGGTCCTGTGTTGAAGGGTTAGGGATCCTATGTTCTTGTTTTCTTGTCTGAAGGGGGGTCGTCGATTTTCTGAAACTCCCATATTTGGCTTGCGGATCTTCGGCTTTTCTTGTCGGGCGTTGAGGAAGCTAATCGGAGGGTCGCGGGACTTCAAACAGTACAGCGAGTTGTACGTATACTAATCCTTCTTCGGGTCGCATGGGAACTTGGGCCGACTCGTGCATGTAACCGGTGCCACACCTGGAATCTCCTTTTTTTCAGAAATCTTGGAATTCAAGATGCACTTCAGACTCCTAGGGCGGGATTGATTGCTGAAAGGGTTCGGAGCGCAAATAGGTCAGCTTCATGTCACTGCAGCTTAGCTGATACACATCCTGACCAACAACGCCCGGATCTGCAGAAATGAGCAAGCAACCAGGGAATCTCGAGCAGGCTCGAGACGAATATGTATGCCACGAATTATCAACAGCACTGTACTATGCGTAATTAGTTCTTTGTCCGGAAATGTGCACCACATCGCTTTTTCGACCTGCAGGTATCATACCACATCGAAGGAGGTTTGCGGATTTAGGGCGCCAAGATTTCGGCGAGCATATTGGCTACGAGAGTTCGACAATCACACCGCAGATCCTGCGGCTGAGCCCAAGGACTTGTGGCCAGACGAGTTACAACCGGTGGACGCCATGTCACTTGCTGAAATACCTGGTTTCCGGGTCCAACACAAACCCCGACATAAAAGAGCGACGCAGAGCGTTCTGTATTGATGTTACCCTGTCAAGGACCGCCCAAAAACAGGTTGTGATTCAATCCATTTCCCTTGGCACAAGAAGTCGTGGTTTCGGGAAGTCAGCTGCGGATCTTGACGGTAAGGCGAAGAAGCTGGCATGAGACGTTATCTAGAAGGGTATACGGAAAGAAGCTGACTTCCAAGGACATACCAGTAGATCCGAAGCAAGCCCCGGAGCCTAACCCTGAACCTTTGAACCTCTTACTTTCACAGCCAAGTCATTCAGACAAATGAAGTCCGAGGACCCGGCCCGAGTGCTTTGCACTTTGCAATGCTTCCCGGCTTGAGCACAAAACCGCAAAAGTAGAAACGTTAACGTCATCGTCATCACCAACAAGAGAATCACCATATATCACCAGCATCATCCTTCATGCATCGCCATCATTGGCAACAACAACAACATCATCATCATCATCATCATCGCCGTCGCCTTCATCATCATCTTTCTTCGAAGCCGTAGACTAGGAGTAGTAGCAGCAGTAGTGTCAGTAGCAGTAGGACAAGCAACAGTGCGGCAGCGGCAGCAAAAGCCACAGCAAAAGGAGACAAAGTAACGATTTGCAACCAGTAAGTTGTCGTCGGCGAAACCGTGGCGATGACTGTCGAACCGATGACGAGGTGCTACTACAACGCAAAGGGTGCAGATGAGGGTTTACTCCGGGCTTGCGGTGCATATCGTTCCATCCTGCGGTCTGGGCAGGGGGGACATCTTCGATTCGCAGGATGTCTTGATGCTGAAAAGACCTCCTCCCCAACCCAAGCTCCTCTTAAACCCCAAGTCCCCAAACCCTACATAACCTAAATCCGAAGGCACAGCTTTTTGCACGATCTGGCCACTTGTCACCCTCGACAGGCCCTTCAGGCTCGGGTTGAGGGTTTATTAAGTTCTTTAAGTTGTTTAGGGTTTTAGGTTTGGGGTTGTTTAGGGCTTAGGGTTCAAAACACCGACACTTTGCACGGCAAGGGTTGTCAGGAATGATCACGCAATATGAGTGTAAAGAGAGTGTCAGTATTCAGGCCCCTGCATTGGGACCCGGCTTCTAAAATCCCGAGCCCTTGAGCACCCCAGCCCATGTCCGACGACAAACGTCAACGTTGCACTGGAGGACGCAGGGGGCGAAAGTCAGGTCGCTCCACGATGGATAAAATCACGGGAGGGGGAGAAGATGAGGAGGTGGTCCTGACACCAGCGGTCCCGTATCTAGCCTGCCATCAGTAAACGGAAAGGTCAACCAAAATTGAATACCTGCACACGGGGACTCGGGAAGAAGCCGAAGCAAAAAGTGTCCGACATGGAAAGTCTCACACACAAACTCGAGTGAGAAGGAACGAAAAGTTGCGAATTCAACGCACAAAAACAGAACTAACCCCACGCCCTACTTACAAAGAAAAAAGAATCAAGCGGTTAAGCCGTGAGCATTCCACTGAGAAGACCCTTGCCAAAGCAATCGGAGTGTCTTGAGGGCACATGCAAAAGCCTCCTGAGAGAAAGAGGGGCCGACTCAGAATGTGGCGAGGAACCACCACGGAAAAAAAAAAAAAAACAGGGGATGGAGGGGAGCTGAAAAACGAACAGACAGCTATCCCATACAGCAAGCACCCAGTGGTCTCCCGCGAGCCGGGGCCACAGCCCGAGGATGGAGCGAACTGAAGAGAGAACTGCCTGGTTCTTAGTAGAATGGATTCCTACAGTAGCCCGTATATAATCCCATAATAGTTGTCCCCAAAATCCATTCCCCCATTCCCTACTGAGCACCAGGGACAGACGGGTTGGCACCTGCAAGCGCAGCTCGCCTTCAGACACAGAAGTGTGACGAAAGATCCCCGGCGCATAAAACGAAGGACGAAAGCTCCCCGACGAACGCATGAGGATAGTTCCGGCATGTTTAACGTTGCCGCACTTAATTTTGTAGCAGAACAGAGTCGTAAATAAGCGATCACAGACAAACGCTCTTCTTTGTTATTGGGGCCCCTGTATTACCCGGGAGAGCGCCCTTAAACTTGGATTTCATTGGCTCAGATCTCTGCCAGGAGGTCTTGGACCCGGCTGCTGTCCCCGCCGCTCGACTTGGATCACCATGAGACCACCGAGCCATCTGAGAGGATTGCTACCTGAATATCTGTCAAGAACTTGTTATGTTGAGGGTTCAGGGTTTCAGTGTTGCCACAAGAGGTTCTTACCAACCGGACATCCACAATGGGCACTCGCCAGTACTCCTGCCTCAAATGCACTCACTAGTACAAACATTTCACACCCTGCAGCACATGATCCCAAGAGGCTTTACAAGGCTTAGGGGTCTGTGTTTTGCATCAGATAGGTGGCCCAAATACAGTACCCTAAATAGTAGGATCCTTGTTATAAGGACCCCGGCATGAGGTACCCCCAATTTTGATCAGGGTTTTTCTGTGGAGCCGGGTGCTGGATTCTCGAGTAGGGGCCAGCTGGAGAGGAATCTGAGGACTCACACTTAATGATTAGGGTTTAGGGCTTCCTTTAAAGGGGTCAAAAAGGGTTGCTATAAGAGATACTATGAGGGCTCTATGATATACAGTCAGGCGTCGCATCCAAAAATTAAGATCCCCAATCAAATAAAGTGCTGACTGACATGGCTTTGTAAGTACATTACAGGGCACTCAAAGCAGACACTAATCTCGAACAGTACCGATTTTTGACGGAACCAAGCGGCAAAAGCATCGTCGGTAGACTGGACCTGGGTCACGTTTGTGAGCAGGCCCTGGGCCGCGCTGCTGTCGCCTCCCCATCTCTTGTCGCCCCAGGCGACAACACTCCCATCTGAGCGGATGGCGGCAAAAGCAGCTCTCGTTGACTGAATCGCTCGCACATCTCTGAGTTGGTCTTGAACTCCGCTGCTGTCGCCCCCAGAGTGTTCAGAGCCCCATGTGACGACCCTTCCATCTGCACGAATTGCAGCAAAGGCCCCTCTTTGCTTCGTGGCTTGGATGTGCTGCACATTGAACAGTTGGTCTTGCACAGCAATGCAGTCGCCGCCGGAGCCGTTCTGCCCCCAAGCTGCGACTGAGCCATCGGCCATGATCGCTGCAAAGGCCTCGGCGTTGGCCTGGACCTGAACCACGCTTTGGCCTTGGAGCTTCTCCTGCACTTTGGAGCAGTCACCCCCGTGACTCTTGTTCCCCCAAGTGACAAGCTGGCCGTCTGCACGGATGGCCGCAAAGGCCCAGTTGGTCGCCTGAATCTGGGTGACATTCCTGAGCTGATCCTGGACTGCGCTGCTGTTGCCGCCTTCATCACCCCATGTGACCACTGATCCATCTGCTTTCAAGGCTGCAAAACCAGAGTTTGTCTTTTGGATCGAATGCACATCATGGAGCTGGTCTTGAACTCCACTGCTGTCACCACCCTTGGGCCCTTTTCCCCACGTCACAACGGTCCCATCGGCTCGAATAGCCGCGAAAGCATATTCGGCGGCCTGTATTTGCCGCACATCACGGAGCTGCTCTTGAACTTCACTGATGTCGGCTCCAAATTGCGAGTTCCCCCAGGTTACGACACTCCCATCTGCACGTATGGCAGCGAAGACCTTGCCATTTGCCTGGATCCTCGGTCGGCCCCAGCAAAAGACGCAAGACCTTGAACAACAACCTCTTCGTGTATCTCTATGCCCACACATCAGCACGAAGACACATGTATGAATGTACGCATGTATGTATGTATGTATGTACGTATGTATGTATGTATGTCTGTATGTACGTATGTATGCATGCATGCATGCATGCATGCATGCATGCATGCATGTATGTATGTATGTATGTATGTATGTACGCATGCGTGCACGTAGGCATGTATGCATGCATGCGTGCGCATGTATATGTTTATACAATTTGTGTCATAACTAAATATGTATATATATATATATATATATACATATATCAATAATTTAATATGTATAGATATAGATATATTGTGCTTACCTTTATACTTATGTACGTGTATTCAATATTTATATCTGTATCTTTATATCTATACGTGTAGATATGTATAACTGTATCTATGCTCACACCTGTATCTGTTTATATGTCATTCACAATCATAGACTATTGACTATATATGTACGAATGTGTACACGTACATGTACATGCATATTAATATGTATGTATTTACGTACGCTTCCATACGTATGCGTGTACGTGGTGTAAGAGCGTCTCACGTGCTTGTCTGCGTAGGCTGTCCACTACTTCCCGGACACTGGTAACACCATGGGGGTTGACGTATATCGCATACTCCGTCCCCCGCTGGCCCGGTGCGACCCGGACACCTAGAGTCCCGTGGTCACATTGGTCACTTTGGCCTTCAAACCGCTCGACGTTGACTCCTCAAGGCTCTTCGGTACATGTGGTTTCGGCGATTTGCAATTTCCGCCTCCCAAAGCCCGCCCCTGCCACAGTGCCATGCTCCGGATCGCCAAACCGTGGGGAGGTCTCAGCAGCTTCGGGGTGCTTCCGAAATGGTTCTTGGGCATGTAGCTGTTGGACTGCTAGGCGTTCTTTCACTGGTTAACCTGTCATCTTTTTCATGTGCAGGTGATGGAAAATGCTCAAACAAGCCCAAGGGCCTTTGTACCTGGGTCAGCTGATCCGCCACTTTTTTTGCAGACTTTTCGAAGTCGGAATCACCCCACGTGACCACGGTGCCGTCTATCCGAATAGCTGCAAAACGGCCGTCAGCGCACGCCTGAAGCAAGACTGCGGCGACAGCTTCGACATACGTTTACACAGTTCTAAACCTACGTATTCAGGTACAGTTGCGACGGGGAGAGGGGAAAGCTCTCTGAGATGTTCGACCTCCACAGTTCGAGATCCTCCAGGGCCTCAGTGCAGCCTTTCGGGTTTTTCGGGTGCAGTCGCCAGCAGTTAAATTCGAAGTATGCCACTGAATCCTACCATGGAGATGAAAGCTCCGTGATCTTAGGGCTTTAGGTCGCAGTCGGCACTGCGGCATGTCGGCCGGAGTGGCTCGAAGCTTCTGATGCTCTAAGATCTCCAAGGCAAGTATCTCCTTGCTGTAACTTCTTCTAGAGGCTGCAGGACCCTTCTTCCAAACGAACTCCAGGTGTGTTGGTCTTCTGGCGCCTGAATTTCACTGACGTTCCGAAGTTGCTTCTGCACCTTGTCGCTGTCTCCTCCGAAATTGCAATGGCCCCAAGTCACCACGCAGTTCCCACCGCTGCAAAAGCATGCCACGGCTGCATCCGTCGTCTGCACAAGCACAGGCCTAAGACGGACACGGAAGCCAACAATCTGACTCCACTCACCTGCTCAAGATTATGTGGTTCATGCCTGGGGATTCCCACCTGGAATGGCACTACCTCTGGGATGGAAAAATGTGGTTTGAATTTCCGACTATGCCGCTACATAATTCCCGGAGCGAAAGTCGTTGAATCAAGCTGCTGAGCAATGGCAGTGACCTGGTCTCCGTTAGAAAGCTTCTGCTCGCGATCAAGTAGTTCGCCGTCAGAGCCAGCAAGCCTTAAGCGACCCTGGAGCCCAAGGGCTCTCCGAGCTGCGGCTTCAAGATCACTGACAGTGGAGTCTGGTGGCATCGAGACGGCTTCGCAGCGGCCGCTCGGCAGTAGGACATCCACCCTCAAAGAGCCGTCTCCGGCAGAATCATTGGTCCCGGCGACTCCGGCTCCGACGACTCCTACCAGTGCCAGAGCCAGAGCCTTCTGCAACTTCTCTTGCTCGGACAAAGGCAACTGTGCTGCCAACTCACGCAGCTCTGCAGGCGAGGCCTGCGTGACTTGAGAGTCTGCGGAGGCGCCAGCACCCATAGCCGGGCCACGACGAACAGTTCGTGTTTTGGGCTTCTGCAGATGTTGCTCGCAGCTCGCTACAAGTGCTGCTTGCAACGACGTGTCGGAGTGCTTTCCAGCAAACCCTGCGACTTGAACACTCGCAGCTGCGCGGAGGATTGAACAGCAAGGAGACGTATAGAAGAGACTTTGCTTAGGTAACACTGTGCCATCTCACGAATGCTTTATCACCGCTTCAGCAAGTGTGCATCTTCTGCCGCGGGGGACGGTATTTGACCCCTTGGAAATTAGGCTGGATGTCGTTCAAAAAGGATATAACACGATTCTAGAAAACGTTACACCCGAAACTGCAACCTCACCGGAAGCAATTGAGGGCTCTTCTCTCGAACCATGCCTCCTTCTTACTTTCCTCTAGACTGTAGGCCGTACTTGGTTCTCTACAGTGCATCACAGACTCTTGCGCGCGAAGAACTACTTTGCACGGCTCTGTCGCGACCCTTGCACAACGCTTTTCTCATTTTTGGTGGCAGCAGCTACGCGCCGGGGTCGAGTCGTGCGGTGGGGCTTCGTTCGCCAGGCCTTGCAATCTTGGTCTGGTTTGATTAGCGTCCAAGGACATAAAGACGAGGCTGGAGAACCAAGTCTCGCGTTGAGGGGGTTTTGGGGTGACGAGAGACCAAGGACAACAGAATTTCGTGTGCAGGCAACTGCAGGGACAAAGTTACGCAACTGCATGGTGTTGCAAGAAAAAGAAGCGAGGTGCCTGGTTCCACTCTAGCACACCAGTTGACGGTGACTTCGAACGTGCACCAGTCCCATCCACAGTAGCACAGCAAAATATAGCTACCGAGACACGAGGACTCAGTAAGTACTACGCAAGTAACTACGCTTACACCGGGACGGCTCCCAATATGAAGAGTCTTTGGGAAACAAACTTACTCCCCAAAGCTGACACCCGACCTGCAGTAACCTGGGTGCTGCCGGAGCTGAAACGGTAGTTGACAAGGCATCTTTGAACTCCCAGTCCAATTTCCAGCCAACAACTTTCGTGGCCGAATCCGAAAAAACACAACAAACACGAAACCCCAAAAACCCAAACGCCAAACCCGACAGTTTAAAATTCCCTGGCATGTAGCAAAGGCACCTACTATCTTTTTTGCCTGAGAGCAGTCGATGCAAGCATCCGAGTTTTCGGCATCATGCATAAAGATTTCTCAAAGTTGCACCTAACCCTGAACTTCAAAGCACTGCAGCCCCGAAAGAGCTGAGTTCGGGGCCCGAAGGCTCATGTACAAACACGACGTCGTTCATTAAAGCACCTCGCTTCACGACTGCTGATGAAAGTACTGGTCACCCGTCAGTCGGCTCTTCCTCTTCAGGTCCGCGACAGGTGACTATGTTGAGCTACGATCATTGTCGTGTATGTTTGCAGCTCATTGCCACAACAGGAAGCTTCAAGTGAAGATCAAGCAAATGCCTTACTCTTACACAGAACAGCGATTGACCAAAAGAACAAGATTACCAACTGAGGTCAGAGTGCGGCTTTGGGAGACCCTACAGGGGAAATGTTGGAACCATAGCTGAATAGTCAAAGCCATTGCGGCTAACCATCCGGTTGAGCTGATGTCTAACGAAATTAATCATTTCGACCTCCGCTTCCCAACCTTGAAGCTCTTCGGGATCTTACAATGCAAAAAGTACTCTGAAAGTTTAAGTTGTTATTTCTGCGGCTTGTTGGGAAGTATGAAAGGATACCCAGAAACTCCGACACCTTCACAACTTTGGTGTTCTACCTTAAATCTTGGTTAAGATCCCTGACTAATTCAAGGTTATATGAAAAAAAATCAAGGCCTTCCGCAAAACTAAGGGGTCTTGGGGTCCCTGGATAAGTCGAGGTGAAGGCTCTGAGATGTTAAGCTTCGGTGTCTTTTGCTCGGAACCCAAAATGCAAGAAATTAGGGAGCTGGGCTCTGGTCAGGCGTGTTACGGTATAGGTTTCAGTTGTCGGAAGACCACGCCGGCACAACGAAGGCCTCAAAATCCCCACATTGCAGGGCCGGTGGTTCCCGTGATTCCTGCACCGGAGCATCGGTAAGGTGTGTTCAGGTTCCAAGTTCAGGGTTTGCTTTTTATCGGGCCCTGTTCGATCAGTAGGTTCTTCGGGACATAGTGGACCATGTCTGTTAATAAACGGTTTTACAGATATTAAGGTTTAGGATGCACGTTCCACTTGCCGGTTTAGGGTTCTGGGTGTAGGGGAACTCAGGAGCACTTCGGCTTCATCGCGCAGCACCTTTGAAAGCTCTCGTCTTCCCCTTGTCGGACCCCTCCGCCCTGTCCGCATGACCTAACGACCTAATGTTTGTAGACGCGCAACCAAAGGAACCGGAACTCGAAATAACAAGACTGTCTGGGCCCTAAAACCTGATCCGTTGGACCCTTGCGGAGACTTTCAAAATGCGACGGAGACTGCAGCTGGCGAGCACAACCCATTTCTGCATGGTTCCCATTGCGCCAGTGTCTCCAATAGCCTCACCTACCATTACTGGGCTCGCTGTCATGTCGGTGTTGGGATTCGATTTCAGATCCTGAAAGCCAGTAGCCTAGCCTTCGAAGGTTGACGGTTCAAAAGCGGATAAGAATCTCTCCGGGCCTATCTTGGAAGAGGAGACCAAAGACCGAAAGCCCAAACCGAGGCCCTCAAGGGTCCGTTTTGGAAGAGCATGCCGGTGATGGCCATCATGGCAAGGCGGCCGTTCGCCAACTCGGAATTCAGCTTCCTGTGCTTTGCCGAGTGGGAATGGTGCGGGGGCGCTGCCGTAAGCCCGCTGCGAAATCCAACCGTCAAGTTGTACTTTTGCAACTGTACACAACAGGACCCTCAGGATCCGAAGCAGGCTTGTCGACGGGTGCGGCTTGCGTAGAACTAATAATTTCAACACAACAGCGCTCGATGTTGGCATGCTGCTCTAGAGCAGCCCATTGAGATGGATTAGAATCATTGGTTGATTATCGTTCGAACACATATCTCGCACCTAAGACCACACTGTTTATAAACCTTGAGCCCCTGAATCGAGTAAAACCCCTATAGAAGCCCTGAAACTCTTTAAAACTAACAACAGCCAGAGCGCCGAGTCTCCTAACCTTCCCCATCTTCTTACCGTAACCCATCTGGTAACCCATATTATGGTACCTCCTTATCGTAACCCAAACTCTTAACCTAATGGCAGCCCGTATATCTTTCGGGTTCTTTGATTTACCGGAATAGCATGTCATACCACCAAGCCCTACTCTGATTAATTAGCTAAGCCCGGTAAAGGAACCCTGCCCTACTTATATAGACCCCTGTTGTGGATGCATTGCGCCTCTTGCGGCCCTCGGCATCTGCCATGGGGCCACTGGCGTTGGGCACGCCGAGGATACCGGCGTTCCTGGCTTTGGAATTTGGGGTTGAGAGCTTAGGCTTTTACTGGCTGTAGAGCTTTAGGGTTTTGGGTGTTGGAAGTTTGGGTGGTTGTTTCGACGCTACGGTCCCTCAGGCCCGAAGAAGTTGACTGCGTGTCTTTCATGTGATGCACGCCTCGAGGCCGAAACTACACCCGAATTTGCATTACAGGTCTTGCGATTTTTGCAAGCGCCATGTAGGTGACATGCACATGCAATATCAGGCAAGAAGACTTGGCTGTGGCTCTTGTATTGGACCCTTGAACCCCTGAAGCCCACACCCCGAAAGCCCTAACCCCTCAATCTCAACCCCCCCGTTAGCCCCAAAAACCCGTAAACCGTCCGTGAAGCAAAAACCCCAAGCCGCCATCTGGGATCCCGGGCTCGTAGTCACCAGGGTCACGGGAAGGATCCGCCCTGCATGATGCAAACAAGCATGAGTCATAGTTGTGAGAACAGTAAGAGTGAACTACCACTGCTCATTGGTCGGAAATCCTACACCCTGAAAACTGCGAAATCCGCAAAAGCAGAACCCACAGCCATTCAGGGCCCTTAAACCCTACCCGTCTGGCTATGTAGGTAAGCAGATGAACAGACAGACAGGCAGGCGGGCAGACAGACAGACACACAGTTAGAAGGTTTAAGGCTTACATGACAGAAAATGTCCATGTGTTCATGGCGTATGTGTGTACGTACATACATACACACATACACATATGCATATACATAATATACATATGCATATACACATACATAAACATGTACAGCATACACATGCACATACATATACACAGACACACGCACACATGCATACCTACGTACACAGGCATGCATTCATGCATAGATACACATGTACATATCTTGCACCTAACAGTAATGCTTACAAACCAAAGCCCTCGGTGGTTGTCCAGGGCTTCGGGGATCAGGGCTTCATCAGGGGTTGATGATGCAGAACCTGTAGAGGCCGAAGTCCACCATGCCGCAGAAGACGAGAATCTGGATCCAGCCCAAAAAAGGCACCTGCAAACTGCTAGCTTAGGGTTTGGGTCCTGATGGACGGAATACGGCTTACATAGAAACTGGCCCGAAAGATAAATTCTGATGGTTGACATTGTGATGGCCAAGGAAACAGGAAAATTCACCACCACGGTCCACAAAAACACCAACCATGCGATGATGCTGACGATGATGGTCGTGGTTGGTCGTGGTCGTGGTGGTGGGGGTCGTGGTCGTGGTCGAGGTCGTGGTCGTGGTGGTGGTGGTGGTGGTGGCGGTGGTGCTCGGATTGAAGGATGGCAGTGGCCGTGGTTACGGTAGCATCACTGCGTTTTCTGCTGATGATGTCAATAATAACATTCGTGAGGTCCTGATAACAAAATTACAACAGCGACAATACCGCAAACATTTCGAGGATTAATATGCAGGCTTGAAAAACGCGAAGACGAGCTGAAAAGACAAAACCTAGCTATCTGCAAGATTTCGGCGATCAAACCAAGGGATGCAAGTGACACCCTCGGCTCTGACATTCTCAGCCCCCCCCCCCCCCCCCAAACTACCACTCTTCTTGTAAGAGACGCCAAATCACACATCCTGGACTATCGGGAATTCGTTTAAGAACCCAAGGCAAACCCTATACATCCAAAAGCTTCCTTTCCAGTGACCTTGGAGAGAGCCGCAAGTCCGTTCGGGACGTCCGCAAACTTGAGGTCTTTGGTCGGCCTGCAGCAGGCGGTAATAATACTTCTTCTTGATCTTAGTGGAATTTTGGCCGGACTCGTACGGTTTTGGCATTACTACGAGTCGCAGTAGCAGTGGCTGCTGCTGCATGCTGTTGCTGATACTGCTACTGCAACTGCGACTACTACTTCGGCTACCTTACTTTGGCTGCTACTATTTGTCAAATTAACTCTCGCTCTTCTCGTCATGATTCCAGGTAGAAACTACTCTCATTCAGAGTCACTCGTCATCTTTTATGTTTGTATTTGCTATTGGTGCTGCTGCTATGGAGGCTCGTTCCCCGGCTTCACAGTCTGAGCCCGTAAGATCCGAACACTTCGTATGCAGAGGAACTTTAGCACCGGCGGAAGGCTTGGCAGTCGTGCTTTGGGTTCAGTCTTTCGGGTGCGAGTTCGTTCATGTCTCTCGTGCTCCAGCACCTGCGAGATGACACATGTGGTCAATGCTTTCGGGCAATAAGGGTTTGCTGAGTTTGCTGGCCATTGCGGGGTTGAAGCTTGAGGTCTCCAATACATGTGCCGAAATGCCTTCCACTCACTTCCGAACAACACTTTCATTCCATCTGGCCTGAATCCTAAGTCCTAGACTCTAGACTTTGAAACACCGTCCCAAATGCCCGCAGCTTGGGTTGATACGAGAGGAAGCCAGGGAAGCGGAAGTACTCCGGCGTGATGACTTGGTTCAGCTGGTGCTTCGGTGAGGTTATACATCATCAGGCCTAGATATGCTCAAACGTGACTGCGTGATTGGACGGAGCAAAGACGAGCACTTTTTTCCTCGTATGTGTCTAGCATTGCTTTTGCTCATTCTGCCTGTCGTGTATGTATCAAACAGGTACATGGAAGACAGATAGACAGACGGACGGATGGACGGACACACACAGACAGACACATACACACAGACACAGACACAGACACAGACAGAGACAGACAGACAGACAAAGCCAGACAAAGACAGACAGACAGACAATCAAACAGACAAGCAAACAAGACGTTCGGACTAACAAACAGAGGAACAGTCTCTGTGTCCAGGTGTGCGTTTGTGTGTGTGCGCGCGTGTGCGTGCGACTCTCTTAGCCTGTTGCGTCGTCTGTGTGAAGTGAAGCATACATACATGTGCATATAGTCGGAATGCAGAGAAAAGTAACAGCACAAACTTCCATCCGTGCATACCCCTTAGCCATTAGCGTCGAAATCCTCTTTTCGAACCTCCAAGTCTGCATACCTGCTCTCGAAGCTTCAAAGGAAGAATGTCTTCGTAAGTGCACGGCATCCCATGGCAGCGAACATGGCCACGCGGCCGTTCCTTGAGACGGGGAGTTCAATGCGTAGACCAAAAATCTTGAAAATCCAACTTCCCAGTCAAGCTTCGTTTAGTTTCGGGGCCTCTGCACCCTATGTTGTTGGTGTTTGTGTAGATTTAGTGTGTAGGTTTAAAACGAAGGAACAACACTCCAAGTTATACGGGGCTGTCAGTCTTCCAGTTTTGAACCAACCAGGGATGCGAAAAATGCGACCCTCGACTATGGAATCTGCTGCTCTTTGACTGGAACCATACAAACTGCTGTGTGTACTGAGACTAATTATTGGACACTGAGCTCTCAACTCGTAAGTCGTAGCATCCTCAATTTCCGTCGGATCCTGCGACCCCCTTTTGCCGAGCTCCCCACTTCAGCTCGCTCTCGCGGCGTCGGCGGAACCTCGAGCAACACGGATTCGTGAATCTCGGTCCGCGTCGGCAGCTAACATGCCCAATCACTCCGAAAACCTACGCCCAAACCCTGGCCCATCCTGGCCCAACGCTCGACACACCCAACCTCAACAAACCCAAATGCATTCAGAAGCTCTCCGAATTCCGCTTGTGTGATCGACATGTCTCCTGTTTCTTTCACACTGTAAACTGTAAACCGCAACATCTAAGAACCCTGAACCCTTGTAACACCGTTCGTGAAGCCCACACCACACAACCTGGAACTCACCCCTGCCATGCTCCGTCAAGAAGCACTTTCTCGTCGCCGTCCTTGGACATGCCCAAAGGATCGAAGTAGCCCACGGGGGCCTCCGAAACCAAGTCTGCAAAACAGAAAGAGGTCGCAATCGGCGCTGGCGAAAACAAATTATTCAACATTTAGTAACACGTGTTTAAAGCGAACTTAAGGCTAGGGTTTTTGCAAAATATTATGATGGGGCCTGAATAGCATGATTAGGGCCTTGCGGTATATAAGATATTGGATCTGCATGGGGGCTGTCGGATATGGATACGAACGGTGGTCCGGTTGGCTTTGGAAGTTTCCAGTACTAACCGCAAGGGATTGATGCATTGTTTTTTGCGCCTGTTGGGTAGGACGTCACACGAAGTTTCCTTGTCCGCCGTGGGTAAAGCGAGCCTCGATGCGTTAGGGGGCGCAAACGACAGTGCGCCGGCGTAACACCTCTGTTTTGCCGGTGAAGAGCCTGGTGCATCGAATTGCCACGCATGCTACACATGAGGCGGTTGTGGTTCAAGCGCGAAGTGTTCCAGGCGGAACCAAAGCAAACATTGAAGCCAAGCGGACGTCTGGCGTGGTCCGACGACCTTGGGCGAACACCTTCGGCGTTGTTTGCGGAGCCATTCCTGGCGCGAACAGATAACAATGGGCTGGGCTGGAGCGCGCCGTCCGCGGCGCGAGATGCTGTTGCATGCGTGCTTTGGTCGCAACCCGCGAGCTGCCCGCGCATGCCAACGCGTGGACGCCCTGAACAAAATTATCAAAAACTGGTTTTTGCACCCACCTGGTTGACGAAAATACATGGGCTCATAAGTCCCGCAAGTGTGCGCGAGAAAGACACAGCGCAGCTAGTTCTGCTTTTGAATTTGCTGAGTCTACCGAGGCCATTGCACGAGCCGGGCCTCTGTGCGACGGCTGCGAAAAGGCTGGCATAGGCGAGTTCTCAACATGGGCCCTGCAACTTGGGCTAAGATATGTGAGATCGTGCTGCCAGCCAAGCCTGCCCTCACTCTCATCAGGTAGTTAGATCCGGACTGGTGAAAAATGCCAATCACATGCTCCGGGGTAAGGTACGACGCGAGTTGGAGGGCAGGCAGGGTCTCCCCGACTATGTGCTGCATTAGCCCCTGAGCTAAAGTCTCCGAGTGGTGCACGGAGAGGTTCAGCAAGCGCACCCTCCGCATACTGGTTCCAAAGCCTAGTTGAATCAGGCATCGTTTAACGATAAGCTGCGTAGCCGTGCCGTCGGGATTCCAAAGATTGGAAACAATTTGGAAATGCAGCGGAGTCAGCATGCCCCGAAGCACCTGTGAAGCAACGCCCATCTCACACCAGCTCCATGATCAACTCAGCAGCCGCCTTCTGAGGGGCTTCGGGCCAAGACCCGCCACCGAGCGCTCATCTTATGATCGAATCTGACGCGCTTCATGTTGAGGAGCTGGCTCCACAGCGCAAGCAACATACGACACGTTTGCCTTGCAGCTCTTCTTTCAGAGATTCGAGGCGTGAAACGTTGCGAGAAAAACTGTCTTTCGTTAATCACTGGTGCTCCGGTGCATCCTTCTGGTTCACGTGCTTGAATGTCTAGCAATGAAGCGACCACACTTCCTGCAGCACACTCCCTCGCTGTTGGTTCGCGGTTGAAGAGCATGCCGACTTTCCTGAAGCACGGTCTCGCCCTTGCTCGCGATTCTCACGTCACAGGCGACCCGTAAACGAACTTGATAGGGCGGCTGTTTGTCGTGGAATTTCGCAATATTGCAATATTGGATTGCGAAATCTCAGCAAGCACTGTGCACAAGGCTTTTGACTTCCCCGTCAGCCAAAACCAGCCTCGTCGGGATTATTCCAGCATACTGTAACCAGTGCACATTGGAAAAAACTCCAGCGGCACTGAAAGCAAAGAAAAGAAAAGGAGACGAAGCTCCTGATACTCAGAGCATTCCCAAGACACATGGAGCACAGTCTTCGGCACGCGACAGACAGGGTAATCGGCAGCCATTTGTACGCGCTTGTGCCTGTACTATCGTTCTTCCGTCATGAATGCCCCCACAAGAATCAAGTGCATGATAGCCACCTTTTTTCACACGGTCCAATTGCAACGTCCTCAAAGCATCATGCAGCAACATGGTACGACGATCGTCCACTTCCTATACCTCACGGTAGTGCTGCGATCTATCCTTAGCATCGCTATTCTATCCAGAGGCCCTTACCACCCTTAGCACCCCGACCCTTGCATGGAATTACAGCGGCGCGCTGGGGGATACTTTTTGTATATTGGGGGGGAACTATGAGAGATACACTTCGTTGATTCTGCAAACCCCTACAGTAGATTCTTAAGGCTCTATAAATTCTACACCGAGTTTAGCAGGTCCTGGGACGTTGCAGGGACTACGGATTGGGGATCAGGGCTGAGCGTGTAGGGTTTTCTAGTTTCGGGTGCGGGGTTCAGGGCTGTTTCTGGTTTGGCGATGGTTGTTGGGATGTTTGCTCCTCTATCCCTGCTGCCAGGCGATTCCGCTCGGCCGGCCAAGCTTAACCGGCGCTAAGTTACCATGATTACTCATTACCATGTCCTGGATGCCCTACACCGTACCAGTACAACTACCCATGGTTCGAAATTTTACACCTCAACCTCTCAAACGCTTCAAGCCCATGAACCCCAAGCCTTTAATCCTAGAAACCCTATCACCTTTCGCGCTTGCTAATTACCAGCTTTTCCTTTCGCTTTTTCCGGGACCCCTCGAGACCTGCACTCCGAGCTCGTTCTCGAAGGCGCGCAAAGGAGAGTCCTGATAGGGCAACATGCATTGGTCCATAGTCGTAGGGTTGTTGCTGTTGCTAAGGTTCAGGTTTAGTATTGTGTCAGGGGTTTAGGGCCTAGGGCTTGATGTTACGGTTTCCTTTGGCGGCTCAAGGTTGTTACCCACCTGGCAACTAAGATAGAACCGCAATCAGGACAGCCGTAAGGGAACACATTATGACTTCGGGGATCGGGAAATGTCACACTTTTTGAGGAAAATCGTTTCTTGATGCAGCTTCTTGGGATGTTAGGATCTCGGTTTACAGGGTTCAGAGAGTTGGAGTTTCGGATTCGGATCTTCCAGTCTAAGCATGGGCTTGGACTTGATATACGGGACTGCCGAGCCACCTGTCAAAGCGTGCTGTCTTCTAATCGGCAGCAGCAACCGACTGACTCAAAACGGTGGAAAACTCTGGAGATTCGAGATGAAAACAGAAAACCCTAAGAAAGTCTCAAAGGGTTTTCAACCATGGTAGGCTTATACAAGCCCCGAAAGGTAAAAGGTCAAAGGCTGTCTACTCAGCTATATACCTTGGAACCGAGCAGAAAGCCCATGTTCACGCTGAGAAGCCTAGATCCGAAGCTTTGGGACCTTATAGGAATTCGCTTGTTTGGCTGGCTGCTAGCTGCCTTACATGTTTGGTGGCCAAGCGTCCGTGTACGCTGCCCAGTCACCCCAGGCGCTGCCCGTGAGGCCATCCTGCTTCAGGCATAGGGCGTAAGATTTTACTGGTGCGGGCTTTGGGGTGTACTGATTCACGGACAGAATTTTTGCAGAAACGGCATAACTGTAACACGACGACGATGTTCATCGAGTCGAGGTCAGCATGATGATGATTACGGTCACCACCACCGTCAAGCTCATCATCATCTTCTTCTTCTTCTTCCTCATCATTGCCGTCATCAGTCCTTAGCGAGGGGGGTAATGCTACCGGTGATGGTGACGACCATCATCATGATGAAGATCAGGTTGATGGTGGTGGTGGTGGTGGTGGTGGTGGTGGTGGTGGTGGTGGTGGTGGTGGTGGTGGTGGTGGTGGTGGTGGTGGTGGTGGTGGTGGTGGTGGGTGGTGGTGGTGGTGGTGGTGGTGGTGGTGGTGGTGGTGGTGGTGGTGGTGGTGGTGGTGGTGGTGGTGGTGGTGGTGGTGGTGGTGGTGGTGGTGGTGGTGGTGGTGGTGGTGGTGGGTGGTGGTGGTGGTGGTGGTGGTGGTGGTGCCTTTTGGCTCGGGCAGTGGTAGCAACGGCGGTAATCGTGTCGTGACCGTCGCAATATTGTTGTTGAAGTATGCGCCGCCCATTTCCGTAGAATATAATCCATCAGGAGTAAACCACTTCCACCAATCCTTGCAAAGGCCTTGACACGGCGTGCAGCAAGCAATGCAGAGTCTTGGAGTCCTTTTCCGATGACAACATGTCCAAGATACAAGTGTCGTCACTACAGGGCCTGCCCCAGTTCCGCAAAGGATCACAGTTCGGAGGCTAGCGGGTCGAAAACCTGAGAATGTGACCTCGCAGGCTAGCAAAGCCCTGGAAAACCACAACTCCCGCTGCCTGGAAGAACATGCCGATGATGGCCTCAAGTCACAGGGTTTGGGCGTAGGGTCTCAGGGTCTCAGGCTTCAAGTTCGGAGGTCTAAACCTGCACCCAAAACCACCCAACCCGGAGCCTGCAACCCTAGTGAGCCCCTTGACACACGCAAACCCAAAGACTGCAAATCCCATGAATTAGGAATCTATGCATCGATTTACATATAGCAGGGGAAATCAAGGCCCTTAGCATGAAGCCTCTACCATCCTCTGCCCGTCCCTAGCTCCGACACCGCTGAACCCTGACCCCCAAACCCTTCAGGCCAAAAGTGCTTTGAGCTGAGGGGCCATCATCGCCAGCCTGCCGTTGGCGAGCTCCGAGTTGAGCTTGCGGTTGCGACCTTTACTTCGGCTTGGTGACATGTTGAGCTTTCGTTGACAAGGATGGAGCTTTAGGATTTCAAATTTCGAGGCTAGCTTGGGGAATTTTTAGGGGTTTCACTGCTTTCAATGATTTTGGTGGTTTTTTGGGGATTTTGGGCCTGGAGGGCCTAGGCCTACACCAGTTGAGCTTCTCGGGTTTGAGGCTTCTGAGGGGGGCTCAGGCCGGGGCTTGATTTTTGGACTTGGCTTTGAGGCGTTTTGCTTCGCGCCTCTACAAACCTCTCTAAACCTCGCCTTCCTGAAGCCCAAACCCCAAGCCCCAAAACCCCTCAGCTGCAGAAACCATCTCGAACAAGAAGGCTTACCCTGAAGCCCAAACCCCAGATCCTCCCAAGGAAGGCCTTCGCCGGGAGTCATGGTGCTGCCATTCGGCACGCCCAAGACACCGGCGTTCTGGTAGTCCTCAGGTATGATGCTTTGTGAATGAAGATTGCCTGTATAAAGCTTTTAAAAACTCTGTGAAACGTTGAGAATAACATAAGAGCAAGACAACTAACATTCAATAGAAGCAAGTCATAACTAGAAGGAGGAAATGAATGTAGGTGCTTCAAAACGGAATCTGAATAAGAAGTTGAACCACGCAACTTTCAGGTTCTCGTAGGTTAAGGCGGATAAGGGTTTGAAGGCTTGAGTTTACATGAACGTCTTTTTCTGCCTTGATTTCGGGTTTGGTCGGTGGAGGCGAAGACCTGAGACGATATGCTCGAGTTGACGAGTACTGCAACCCAAAAGGCCCAAGAAAGCATTCTTGGGAGTGTTCGAGTTCGGCCCCGAGTTGTACCGTCACAATAGACAGGCTGGATCTCACAGATTTAGGGGCATATAGACCCTAAAAGGCAAACTTGGGGACCCTTATATCGCGAAGGCCGTATCTGCGTGTTTACGCGCCTTTGTTGGGCACCTTGCTGTGTCTGTGCTTCAGGCATGTGGGCTAGAAACTACAGTACCTTATCTTCGGAATTGATCCCGAAACCCACACACTTAATCAAAATCCCACAAAAGACCCTGAGATCCCGAAACCTTCCAGTCGCCTCCAGAGAAAAAAGTCTGCCAAGGCACTCCCGGCTGACGGGTCGGGTCGAAGGTGTAGAGGCCCTTCTCCACGAGGCCCAAGAAGAGGAAGATCTGGGTCCAGCCAGCTCCTGGCACCTGCCAACTTTCCGAACTCTTTTGAAGGCTCTTCCGGAAGGGGCCGTGCCGAAAGCATAAAGGTTTGAGCTTTGGATTTTTGATGCGCGGAATGCTGGAAGCGCCCAGAAGTCAAACTCCATTGCCTGTGCTTTTATGGATAAGGTACGGCCGGTTTGGGGAGTTTAGGGGTCTACAGTCTTCCGTTTTTGCGGAGTCTCCAGAAGCCCAACATGCCCAGAGTGTTGGGCTTCGCTGCCTTGCTCAAAGCAGCCAGGCCGTTCGGGATGTCAGTGAACTTCAGACCCGCGGAGGGCGAGCAGTATCCTGCGCTCATCTTGCTAAACAGCTGCCCAGCGAGGATCATCCTACATGCGAGTAGTCCTACATCTGTGACAGCTTCTAAGCGGCTCTTGTCACTTTGTCGGCTGTTAATTTTCCTACAGGCGGATGATCTCCGACATCGCGAAAACATGTGATGGTCTACCTTTTCATCTCCCACACACACACACACATGACCTTTTACGAAGCACAATGGTGTGAGAGCTCATGGCACTTGTCCTGGGAAGCGGAAGTACTCCGGGGTGATGTATCCTGGCGCTGAAGGCTGTCGCTAACGCAACGTGCGGCTGTCGACCCCAGCCTGACCATTCGATGCATCCGCTAATACGTCTGTATTTCGGACTTTAAGGATGTTTGGGCTCTCTCTCTCTCTCCCCCTCTCTCTCTCCCTCTCTCTCTCTCTCTCTCTCTCTCTCTCTCTCTCTCTCTCTCTCCCGGGCATGGGGACGGGTCAGCGCCCCCGGGCATCATGCCCACCCGTCGTGTTGACGGTTACGGGGGGTGAAAAAGAACGGCGAACATTGCAAGGCTATAAAGTCTACGATAACGAAATACAGTGTTCGTCCGTTCTTTGGTAGACAAATCGCATATGCCAGATCCCCCAAATGTTTTAATGAAGACAATATTTCCCCCGTACAACTAACAAAATACAACCGAGGGGATTTTTCGGCGATACATGACACTACCATCTAAGTTAGGTTAAGGCAGGACGAGGATCTCGTTGCAAAACAAGGACACAGCAATCTCTATGGGCCTCATGGCGATACCATACGTCAATATTCATTGCCCTCGTTAACTGCCTTTTGTTCGAAGGTAAATCACTACAATCCCCCGGGCCTGAGAGCACGTGTGGCACAGCATAACAAAATTATAGAGGCTAATCTGAAGTCCCCCGTATTCCCCACACGTTGAGGCCAGAGAGGAAAAGTGTTTACTCTCAGCGAGCTTGTGGACAGTTCCCCCTTGTCGCGATAACACAGTAAGAAAGGAGTAAAGAAACATACATTCTGTCCAGAAGCCTCTCGCCAAACACTATCGTGGTGCCAAATTTGGATCCAACCTTCAGGAATCAAACAAAATAAGGACCAATGACATCATCCAGTAGAGATACAGTTGGATCCAATTATTCGTGCTCTATCTTGATATGACAAAGCAACGGCTTATGGGCGGATTTAAAGCAAGTTGTAGGGCAGTAGCACTTGGCAGGTTTTTTGGGGGCCTAGTTTCAAACAGCAGCGGGCATTTGGCAAGGTGTTTTCAGAAGGCCCAATGTTCACTCTTTTGATACAGGATGGGACAACAGCTTGCAGTATGTCAGTAGTTTAAGTGGGCCGGATTTTTTGGGCTCGGATCCCCCTGTACGGGGGAAACTGGCAGTTCGGCATTCTATCCCCCGCTCACACTCTCAGATCGGGCCGTGCCGGTCGTAGAAGGCACTCTTCAGGCGTCTTCGACGGTGGTCAGGTGGACTTTCGTCACTGTCACTGGGGAAGTCTTCAGTTGGGCTTGGAGGTCGTCTGGTTCCCCCGATCGGTGCATTCCCTAAGCCATGGTGACGATCATGTAGCCACCATTGTTCTCCCCCGGAAGACGACGTGGGGACATGAGCTAACATTTGTGCATGTAGGGCTCGATCGTCACCCTCATATTCCCCCGGATCTTGGAAGGCAGGTAGTGCAGGTGGTTCAGGTTCTGCAGGTTGTAGAGCATCTTCTACGGCCTCCAAGGTGTCTAGGAGAGCACGGTGGATCGTATTGAGATCCCCCCCGGGCCAATCATGCAGTTGCCCCCGTAGTTCTTTGAGCTCAAGTGCCATCCCCCGCGCTCGTTGCTCTCGTCTTTCGCGGGCGAGGTTGGAGGTGACAATCCCCCTGCTTTCTGCTATGACATCAGCAGGGTGTCCGACGGGGTCTCCCCGTTCCACTGCAGCCAAGTATCCAACCACGTCGACGAGGAGCAACCAGTTGTCGCGGTTATTGGGGTCCCCCTGCACGCCCTGCAAGGCTGCTCCCATCTGACCGAGGATGGTCCCAGTGTTGAACATCCCCTGCTCATAGTCCAGATTGGCAGCCGGCATCCCCCATTGCTGAGGGTTTCCATCGACAGCAGTGGCCATGGCGTGCATGTGTGAGTTCAGCCATGCTAGAACTATGTCCACATCATGTTGCAAGTCGTAGTATGTGATGTAGTTGTGGTGGATGTCCGCTCGCAATCGCCTCAAGGCCTTTGCACGGATGCGTTGTAATGCTTCCTGTGTGGCGGTCCCCTTCTGTTCGACCTTGGCTCGCTTGGCCTCAGGTTCCCCGGTGCTATTGAGCAGGGGGAAGGTCTCCAGTTCGAGGTGACGAAGAACTTCGGCCTCTGTCTGGTCGTCTATAAGCAGGTCGGCAAGGGCACATTGGGCTAGGTGTGCTACCATGTTTCCCCCTGGTAGCTGGTGCGACAAGCTGTAGATGCGAGTAAGATAGTGCTCAATTCTTTCTGCACTGGTCGTGAAGGCTGGTGTGGGCTCCATGGCTTGAGGGTGTGGTTGTAGTACAGGTGGTGGTGGCTGTGAGAGCTCTGCCGAGCTGTCGGGGACTGTTTCTGGTGCGCCATCACCAGAGTTTGTCTGCTGGGGTGGTGCTGGCGCTGTATGTGTTGCGGAGGCCTGAGCGAGACTCCCCCGTTGTAGGGCTTGCTGGATGTGTTGCATAAGGTTGGTCTCGTCATCAGGTGGTTCTTGCTGGTGGTAGGTAGTGCTGGTAGTTGCCATGGTAGCTTCGTTGGTGGTTGCTATGGTTTGTGTGGTGGTTGGGGGCCCCCTTGGCAAAGTGCTTGTTGTGGTAGAAGGTGTGTTGCCGGAGGTCGTGGTGGTTGTGGTGGTTGTGGTGGTTTTCTTTTTTCCGCCGATGTCGCGGCCGTCTCGGATCTGGGAAATGAGATCCCCCTGTGTGGCGGGTTGTGGGGGGGCTTCGCGATTTCGCGAAGGTGTCTGGTCCTCTCTGCCACGGTTTCCGCGCAGGTCTCGTTTATCGACGAAGGCACTGTAGTCACCGGGGGTCCGTGGTGGTTGTGGTGGTGGTGGTTTGGGCTGTCCTCCTTCTTCGTCGGGTTGTTTGCGAGTGCCAGTCTTGTCTTGTTTCGGTGTTTTTCGCCGCTCTCTTACTGGTGGGTCTGTGACATCCGCTGCGAAGTGCACACGCCGTGCCTTTGTATGTGGGAGTGTTCCCCCGTGGCTGGTGGAATCGGCCGAGCTGGCGGTTTGGCTGCTGGAGGGTTGTTGTTCATCCCCGGTGTCAGTCGTGGCTTGGGGAGTGGTTGGTATGGGCTGCGTTTGCTGCTGCTGTTCTTGCTGCGGGTGCTTTGTCTTTGCCTCGGAGGTTTTGGCTTCCCCCCGTCGGTACTCCCGAGTGGCCGATTCGGCTTGTTTGTCCACTGTCATCTTCCATCCGTCGTCTGTTAATTGGAGTACGAAGGAGTCCCCCTCAACCACAAACATGCTCTGTGGCCAGAAATCGTCCAGCGGAGGTGTTGACGTGACTTGAAATAGCCACATGTCAGGTGGCCCCATTGGGGCTAAACGTCCTCGCAAGCCAACTGTGAAGGGTGGTGCTGTGAGGACTGGGCCGTTCTGGCCAACATGGGTGATTTGGAGTGGTGGCAGGCCTGCTGAAGCTGTAAGTTCAGTAGGTATGTAGTGTGTTGCTGTGATGTGGATGTCCCAACACCCCGCTGTCAGAGGTAGATACTGCACTGTTGTGCCCTCTGCGTGTGGTAAGCTTGGAGGGATCTCGAGGTCGTGGGAGTCTGGCCCCTGTGGTGCGTTGTCGTACTGCCATTGCTCTTCTGGGGTGGGTATGTATTTGCGGGCTGTTTTATGTTGGTGTTGTTTTTCTGTTGTGCGGTTGTCGCGGTGAGTGTCGGTGGAGCTGGAGCTTGCTGTGCTTGGCGGAGGGTCTGGCTGTCCCCCTTTTTGGTCTCCTTGTTTCGCAGGGCGGGTTGAGCTTTGTGCCCGACTCGCAAGGATACCCCAACCGGGCCCATGCTGGGGCTGGGGGTCAGGTCGTACGAGTTGCTCCCCCGCCCAGACCCTCTGCTTGAAGGCATGTTTGCCCTCCTTGTTGCCCAGCCTTTGGGATCCGTGTCCGGCTCCACGTGTTTGTGTGGTTCGGGAGGGAGGGGGGGGGGTCAATCCCCCAGTCGGGATGTTCCCATGGTGGCAGGCCTGTATCTTCTGTAGCTGTGTCGATCGGCTCCTCATCGTCAGGTTGGTCTGCGGTCGCGGTGTCATGTGGGTCTGTATGGCTTTCGGTGGTGTTTCTGCCGGGGCTTGGTGGTGGTCGTGGTTGGACAAACTCGGGGAGTTCCCCTGAGTGTTTGGCCCTTGGAAGTGGATCAGGTTGTGGTTGCAGTGGCTGGAGTGGTGGCGGGGGCATGCTGCAGGAAGCATTGATGGGGTTGCTTGTCGTAGCTGCAGCTACTTCCGCCGGTGTCTGAGTTGCTTGCAGTGTGGCTTCGGCCGCCATGGACCCTTCGGGGGTGCCTTCCCCCTGTGTGTCGGGGCTTGGTGTGCAAACTCGCTTCAGGTATGTGTCGGGTATGCGGCCTGTACTGATCCAGCTGGTGTATTCTGACTGCCACATGTTTGGCAGGGGCCCCGTACCAGGGGGTGGCAGCCAGCATGTTGTCTGTGGTTGGCGTGTGCTTTGTTGTGATTGTTGTGGTTGAGGTCGGTGGGGGGCCGCTGAGGCGCCTGTGGTGTGCTGAGCGGAGGTTGCTGGTGACAAAGGTGTGCCATGTGCCTGCCGATTCGCCGGCTTTGCTGCTGTGTTTGTCTGTTGCGCTGCTGCCGGTGGCGGATCGTCCTGTGGGTTGTTCCAGGGGTCGAAGTCCCAATCGTAGGTTGGGTGATAGCCGTGGATGTTGCTTGCGTGTGGTGGTGTGTGGGTTTGCTGTGGATGGGCATGTGTTGGTGGCTGGTGGGGGCCAGTTGCCATGGCTTGAGCTTGGGGTGGTTGTCGAGGTGGGAGTTGTTGTGGTAGTGGTGCTTGTTGTGAGCCGCATGCTTGCAGGCCGATTTGGTATGCTGGTGGTGGAAAGTACAGTGGTTGTTGTGGAGGTGGTTGGGGGCCATTTCCCCCGCCCTGTGCCGTGCTCCAGCCACCCCATGATGTGACGTAGCCATTAGCCGTAAGATGCGTCGCCGCCCATGCCAGCTGGGTTGGGGCGTGTTGTTGTGCCCACTCGTGGTTGTGCCACGGTGGTGTCGC